CATTAATGCACCCTACGTTATATTACTCACCACCATCACCTTTTTCTGTTTTTTCAACAAAAAGCCGCAGACCCTCTCTGCATCCCCAAACCCCCTCCCCTCCCCCCTCCTCCGGGCCCTCTATCAGTTACCATTAAATCTATCCCTTTCCGCCCTAAACACGATCAATTTGATCTGTTAATCTTGTCTCACCCACAACCAAACGCCGCCGCCGCCGCCGACGTCCGACATATGGGACAGCATTCCCCGAAGTCGGCCACCACGTCCCATTCGTACAAACTCTTTGGCATCATCGCAAAAGTCACGTCCCTTGCCGAAATCTACAAGGCGTTTGCAAGGAGATTGCACCCCGTGGAGAGAAGCAGGTCCTATTTCCGCCGCCCGGAATCCAACTTCTCCTCCGTCAATGACGCCTATGGGGTAATCATAATTCGTGATAGTAATTCGCATTCCATTCGTTTCAAGATGAATTTCCCACCGTTTGAATTCTTCAGGCTTCTCGTGCTCGAAGGAGGGAAGGGGATTCCACACCGGATTCGGACAAGAAAACACAGGAAAGGAGGATGAAGAAAGATGCGGCAGAAGAAGAAGAAGAAGAAGAATTTGTGATTTCAAGTCCCAAGTTGTTGTCTAGGACCACAAGCCGGATCGCCCCGAAATTGTCTAAAAGCTCCAGCGGAGGGAGTAGGGGCGGCACGCCTATACCTGCAGATTTGTATGCACATGTGCAAAGGTCAGCCTCAGTTTCCAGCACCACAACCCCACCATCTTTACTCTCCAAAACAATGAGCCAAGCTAGGAGAAAGCCACCGCCATTGGAGAAGAAGCTGAAATGCACGCTTGAGGAGTTGTGCTATGGATGTACCAAAGAGGTCAAGATTACAAGAGAGATCAATTCAAACTCCGGGTACGTGGCCAAAAAGTCATTCATCTTTTCCCATATATATACTCTGTATAGTTTTTAAAAACCTTTCTAAGGAGTACCACATCAAAAAATTTAAGAGAAGAATGAATGTTTATACACTAATGCCTCCGTATAAGAATACATTGAGACCAAAATAGTTACGGTGTATGTTCTAATTGGAAAACTATATATAACCAAAAAGATATATGCGTATGAAAAAATTATGTTCAGACCAAATATCTTATATTCTCATCTCAAAACAAGGTTTCAGAGTTGACTAGGGCACAGTTATAATAAGGGCAAAGGTGTGTGGTTGGGTTATGTGCAGAGAAAAATGTGTAAACCACACAATTCTTTCTTCAAAAGGAAGAATAAACTTTTTTAGGACAAATTAAAAAAATGTAGAACTTTTATGGAGCGGTGGGGGTAATAAAATAGAGATTATTTCTTATAGAGAGAACTCCTCTCAAACTCTATCTTTTTAGTATAGGTTGTCCAATGTGCATAATTATTGCCAAGATTAGTGATCTCAATGCAATCATGATTTCAATGAATTCTAAATGAAGAGAAATCGGCTTATGGGCAGGCTAATTCTTCAAGAAGAGGAGTACGTAACAATCAAGGTGAAGCCGGGATGGAGAAGAGGAACGAAGATTACATTTGAAAGAAAGGGAGATGAGAGGATGGGGACCCACCCAGAAGATATCATCTTTGTGATTGAGGAGAAGAAACACCCGGTGTTCAAGAGGGAAGGAGATGATTTGGAGATAGGAGTTCAAATCTCCTTAGCCCAAGCCCTCACGGGATGCACTATTGAGGTACCCACATTAGGAGGAGAGGAGAAGATGGTTGTCAACTTGGACAACGAGATCATTTATCCGGGGTTTGAGAAAACCATCCCTGGACAAGGAATGCCTAAATACAAGGAGGGTCAAGCAGGCCGTCAAAGAGGAGACCTTAGGCTCAAATTTCTCATTGCTTTTCCCACAGATTTGAGTGAAGAGCAACGATCACAAGTTGCCAGTATACTGAAAGAATGTTTTTAAGTTGGTGTTCAAAGTTTTGTTGCCGTATTATTGGTCTGTTCGGATTTGTCTCCCTCCTAATAATACTAGGTGCAGGCTTTTTGAGTCATATGTGCATGAAGCATGTGTTTTGCTTGAAAATTGACAAAGCATTCCAATCATTTGTTCAGGCTTGATCGGACCAGAACATTACAACTAATTTAACCCTTAGAGCAATGCAATTCTAGGAGTCGCTAAGTGTAGCTCTAGTCGTGGCTGAGTTACTGTTTTAGTTGAAATGAATGAAATTAGTTCTATAACCTTATTTTTTTAGCAACAACTTCAACACTTTTAACCATTAACAAACAGACTCTATGTACTTTAGTTCAAGTAATAATAGTAAAAAGGCAATGTGACCACCACTTACCTCAGAATCAATGGCAGCAAACTCGATCAATACATTCCTTAAACACAACTCTTTGATGATAGGGGACGTTGACGACCAAGATAAGGGACTTCCACCACTGTCCCAACGACACCATCCCCAACGTTCACAATGTCACCCTCAGAAGCAGCTCTCTTCCTGATATAGCCCAACCCAAAAGGTTTGGATACGTGTCCACCAGTTGTGACACTTGTAAGTTTGCCAACCTGTAAACTAGTATAGCTTTATCACACCAATAAGAAATCAAAATTAACAAGTAAAAGTAAAACTATATAACCTTTTCCCCATTGACGGAGATGCTGCTGCCAGGTTCTACATGGGATGATAGACGAATTCCCCACAATCTTTGTTTGACTCCATTGTATGTAACAAGTCTAGAAATGGTTTCTTGTCCCTTGTAGCACCCTGTGATCAATTTTCAGTTTATGAGAAACTACTGATATCAACCAAACCAGAACTTTTCTGCAAGGTCCAATTTCCTCAACCTTTGTCCAGAGAAATGGCATTCCAAAGATTAGCCTCTAGAACATTAAATTCATCTGTGAGTTCTTTACCAGGTGCTGGTCTTCCTGCAGCATTGAGTGAATTAGAGCTAAATAATACATGATTTGTCTCCAAAGTAAAGTTCTCTTTCTAAAATTTTTACTATATTGTTAGGTACTGCAGAGTATTTCTGTAAAGCCAAGGGGCAAAGGAGTCATTTACTCCAAACCCATGAAATAAGCTCTAAGGGTATAAGAGACCATTCCTTATTTGTAAAAGGTTGTACCTTGATTAAATTGACTAAAAACAAAGAGCTATCCTTACTCAACCAGGACCCTTTTTATTTTTTGGTGGAGACAGATGAACTACAGAGTACATCTTAAGTTTAGGCATTAAAATAAGACCAATCCAAGCAAATTCGGAATTTGCATATCTAGGCTTCCAAACAATCTGTTACAGAAGACTAAGGTGCTCTTGCCATATTGTCTACGAGTATAAAACCAAGTTTGTTTAAGCAAGAGTAATGAAATTAAAGAGAATTAGAAGAGGTATGGGACACAATAAGAACATTTGAAAACCTTGTAGTATCCTCAACGTTTCCCATGCATTTGAACCCATGGGTACCGCACCATGATCTTTAAGAGATTTCCAGAGTGATTTAGCATTAGCTGGTGATACCAATAGTAAAAACCCTTCTTCAGATATGATATTTCCAACTGCTATAGTAATTGGGGTCCCATTCACCTTTAACAAGTTAAGCAAGTTAATGGTTACGGTCTACAGCTAAATCATCATTATTTTTATAATTTTATGTACTATACAAAATAGTTATATCCTCTGAAAATTCCATGAGGCACACGTGGGTGGAATTTAAGTCAAGTTTACACTGCATTTGGGTTATTTGAGGCATTAGAGTGGGAAAAATCAGCAAACTTTAACGATCAAGGCATGAAATATGCTTGTGCCAAAAATTTAGTGCAGTGGTATAGAAAGAATGTCTCAACAAGTAGATACATTTATAAAGGCAGAGTTGGGCTGAGATTTTCTAGAGTAGTGTCAATATAAAGCTCATCAAGAATTCATTGAAAGTAAATGATTTCAGAAGTGGGAAGATGAACTTACAATGCACTGCTTGTGTGAACCATATGGTAGTCTTAAAACGTCCTTCAGATCAAATCCTTCTATTATCTGTTTGCACCATCGATTGCTACTACTCATTTTGATTAAAAAGAAACAACAAGAAGGAAACTGTAAACATCTAATTTGAGTAAATACTTTGTGGCTTCTAGGTCCTGCAAGTGCAAACAAACTTGTTTTCATAGTAATATCTTGAATTTCCACCTTGTCAGCAAAAAATATGTACCTACACCCATGAGATCATGTATTGAGATTGTATGGTAATGCAAATTGAACATTGCATTAGCACAATGAAGTGTATAAAGTTCTATAAACAAACAAAATTCTGTTTAAGATGGCCTGGTACACAGCACAATCTACAACAACTACACACTATAACCCCAACTCTGTTGGGATATGGGGATCAGCATATACGCAATCCCCCAAGAGTAAAAACACCGTATGCATTTACTATCCAAAACTTTATAGAAACTAAGAAGCAAGGAAAGTTTAATGTGTCGCAATACCAACACTGTGTATGGACAATAAGTGTACATACTTGTTAAGCATTGATGTTATTTTCTCTCTTGTCTCGGGTGAGGTCACCAAAGTAATTGCATTTTTCTGAGAATACAATGAGTCATAAGTGGTCTGACATATAAATGCATCCCAAGATCTAAACAGTAAACAATTAAGAAATATATACAAAGAGGAAGAATTACCATAATCCATGCATGCGCAATGTCAATGGTACGGGCTGTTGGTGTTACAAAAACTGTGTCACACACCTACATTTTACAAAGAAGAGTATGAGGAATTTCACGAATTGCAGACTTTCATCACCTGAAATTCTAAAGACTAACTACTACCTGTCCTTCATTAAGAATCTCAATATTTGCGGTACTTTGACTGTGAATAAACTGAACTCGATGTTCTCCACTAACTGTATCAGGATTGGAGAAAGATATAAGCAAAAATAACTGACAGTCACCAAAATATAACATTCTAAATAGGGTTGTGTGAAATTCTCAAGACTGCTCTTATTCTAACAAGATGCAGAAATCCACTGCATCCAACTATCATATTGATCACAAATGACTAAATGAATTGCAGTATTTGATATACAAACTACCAGATCATTAGGTGACAAGAATATAAGACAAAATTGTCTACTATAGCTTCGAAGAAAATGCATGTCTTTCTACAATAATACAGAAATGCAAGAACAATGTTACCTCTTATCCGACCATAATGTGAAAGATCCACGACCTAAAACATAAATGTCAAATTCTTCCTTATCAATCATAATTCAACAGAAAGCATATGTAAACTAGAAGAACTATCCACTACAGGTTGTTATGTTAATTGTTACCATCCAGCAGAGCCCTAGTATTTTCTGTCACTCAAGTGTGCAACAATTTCAACAGTTTTTGCAATGAATATAAAACATTCAATCAGACAAAAATGCAGTTCAAACTGATCCTACTAGAAAAACAACTTATAATCCTTAAACTCAAACTCAACTTACAATCCCTTTCAAGACTTTGTCCTAGTTTTAGAAAAACATGAGAAAACCTGGAGCAGATTAGGCACCTACCGCAACTCCATTTTCAACTGCACTTAAGGCCTCCTCATCAGCATCATTAACATAGGTCTCAATTTTGTCATCCTGCAAGGTGGATAAATCAATTAATTCAATGCTTTATCAGCAAGGGAGCCTTTCACTTAGTTGGAAAAAAAAGTGTGTGAAATGCCAGCCTGATACTGCTAAAATACTCTGTAAATCAAGTAGTTCAGAAATCGATGAATATATTGCACAATGCTAGGGCATTTTCATTTCAATTTTAGGAAGAATCCAGGCATGTATGTGGGATAGTCAAGACGATTCTCAGTAATAACTACAGAAAACTGAGCTCAATTTAGCATACGGATTCATACGATAAGGTCGTGATCAATGGGCGGAGGCGAGCGATCGAAAGGCAGAGCGGAGGAAGAGTAGTTGCGCGCCGTCAGATTCTCCGGACGAAGCGCATCGTTCTGGAGACGGATAGTGCGGGAAATGGGAGGAAGGTAGAAAGCGCGGCGAGGAAGATGATACAATCGGGTAAGTGGAGTTGCAGAGCCGCTGCCGGAACACATCATCATCATCTTCACTGAAAGTCCAAATTTCAACTCGGGGAAATCTATTGAAAGCTTTGGTAGTTGGTTCTTCCTGGTGAAGCCGTGAAGGCTATCAACTATCAAGGCATTCAAAGGAATGTGTTCAATAGGCAATAATTTTTTTAAGTGAAATTTGCATTGAATAGAACTAAAACATAAGCTAATTCTCATTATAGTACTTAAATTTTTTTAATCCTTAAATAAAACTTAATAATAACTATTGAAAAAAATAATGTCTAAGTGATGCTGGATATTTAGTTAAATAATGACTAATTGATAATGATCAATGGTCTTACATTGGAAAATAAAAACATATAGTCATATATTGAGAAAGTAATTATATTTTAGTTTTATTTGGGTAAATTTAAGGTATATTTTAGAAGTGCGTGGGTATTTCTAAATCTAATGGTATTTAATTGAGATTTTAAAAAATTATTTAAAATATAGAGATATATTTAATTGAGATTTTAAAAAAAAATCTTTCTAAATCTAATTGTATTTAAAAAAATATTTGTACTAAATAGCATTAAAACTTAGGTCATTTCTCTAAATAGTACTTAAACTATTTTATTTCCTAAATAGTACTTAATAATGTTCATAATACCCAATAATGGCGAACATTTACTTAAATAACGACTAACATATAATGACTAAAAATACTACATGTGGAATTGTGGAAAAAACACATGTAATGTCATTTAGCAATAACAACAACAACAACAACAACAACAACAATAATAATAATAATAGTAATAATAATTTATATCAACAAGAATCAGAATGAGAATAATTTAAAACCACACATAAAATTTTTTTAAAAACTTTTTTTAGATTTTACAATTTATTCTACTCTGTAGTTTTTTTAGATTCTTTTAATTTTTTCCAGTTTCTTCCAGTTTTTTCCAGTTTCTTCTAATTTCTTCCAATTCTTCCAGTTTCTTCTAGTTTCTTCCAGTTTTTTCCAGTTTCTTCCAGTTTCCAGTTCTTTTTTTCAGTCCTAAAGAACAGGCCCTAATTATATTATTGCTATCGAAGAAAAAAAGAGAGATAAATCATTTAAATGACTTATTATATCTATACATATTGAATGGAGTATATTGTAAAGACTTAATTTAGATATATTAGCCATTTTTTATAAAAAAAAAGTATTTTTAGGAAAAACACAAAATAATGAAATACTCCATCTTGAAGAAGGAATGGAGGAAGTAACAAATATTCCCTACCTATTTTCAAAGCAGTTATTGAGAAGCTTTAAGATTAGAAATAAAAAAGAAGTGAAATTTGCACTAAATAGGACTAAAACATAATGACTTTCCTAATCTAGGATTTAAACTTACTTATTAATGTTTTAGTGGGAGGAATAATGTCCAGTAATAATGAACATTTACTTGAATAATGACTAATTCATTATGACCAAAAGTCCTACATTGGGAAATAAAAACATATGGTCTTATATTAGGAAAGTCATTATATTTTAGTCCTAAGTAAATTAAGAACCCCATCTTGCCGGTTCGCATTACAAAAGCAACAGCAATATAAAACACATCCGCAGCGATCACCACAGAAATAAGAAGTTACCAAAAAAATGGATTTCTTGAAGAACAACGCGGCGGAAGAGGCGCGGTGCCAGACGGCGATGACCGTGAAGATGGCGTCGATAGCCGTCTACGCCTTGGGCTTCTTCCTCGCCATGGTCCTCTGCAACTTCGTCCACTTCCTCCTCCGCCCTCTCTCTCAACCCCGCATCGTTTCCGAAGCCATGGTACGTACGTACGTCTCTGCATGGCATGCATTTGCGTACCCGTTATTCATCTCATGCATGCAAAATGAACCCAACCTTTTCTCTTTTCCTCATTAGTAATAATTATGATTACATACAGGTAGGGTTGTTTCTGAGTAATCTCCCGCCTGTACGCAGGTCTTTAGACGACGACGAGATCCACGAAACCTTAAACTACATCGTCGACGCAATCATGATCTGTCACATGTTCGTGGTGGGCCTAGAGATCGACCCCAACATTTTCCTCCACCTCCACCTCCCGGAGACGAAGGTGGCGTACTCCGGCGTCCTCTTCGCCTTCGTGCTCTCCAACTTCCTCGTCCCCCTCCTCAACATCTCCACCGCCTCCGACATCATCTTCAACGTCTGCCTCTCCCTCATCCTCTCCGCCACCGCGTCCCCGCTCCTCACCCGCCTCATCACCGACCTCAAGATCGGCAAGTCCGACATCGGCCGCTTCGTCGTGGCGGCCGGGGTCCACTCCGACGTCGTCTCCACGCTGCTCATCTCCGTCGGGTACATCGTCTTCGACCCGCTCAACAACTTCGAGACCCGCGACGCGAGGAGCGTCGTGAAGATGATGACCACACTCATGTTCCAGACGGTCCTCGCGTCGCGGGCGGTCCCCCTGGTCATGAACTGGGTGAACCACGAGAACCCGGAGGGGAAGTCCATGAAGGGGTCCCACCTGGTGGTCGCCATCGCGTTCGTCGTTCGGGGGGTTCAATAAGGTCCTCGCCGCATTCCTCGCTGGGCTCTTCATGCCCCGGGAGGGAAGGATATCGAAGATGATGATAACGAAGGTGAACTACGTTTTCACCACCATTTTCTACCCGCTGTTTTTCTTGTGGGTGGGGACATCGGCTCAGCTCCATCAGTTTGGGGCCTCTCACTGGCAAACCTGGGTGAACATAGTTGTGTTGTTCTTGATTTCAACCGTCGGAAAAGTTCTTGGGTGTTTGGTCTCCGGCGTGATCTTGGGTTTTAATTGGCCGGAATCGGTAGCAATCGGTTTGCTTCTCAACATCAAGGGCCATTTTCAAGTCTTCTTAGCCATTGTTGCCTCAGTTGTAAGCTTCTTTGCTCCGTCTCTACCAAAATAATGTTACACATTAAATTATTCATTGCAAGACTAAACTCCACTATTGACAATATGAGTTTTTAATATGAGTTTTTCACGGTTAGTCTTTCAAGTTTCAAAAGTCCATAAGTAGTCCTTCAAGTACACATCAACCTTCTAAATGGGGTCATTTTGACGGTAAACGTTAAAAGCTAAATGAAGTACTAGCTTCATATAGTACGGAGTAGTCGTACACAGTGGAATTTACTCGTATTATATGGAACTAATATTCCATTTAGCTTTTAATGTTTACTGTCAAAAGACCTTAATCTGAAAGACTCACGTGTACTTGAAGAACAACTTATCAACTTTTGAAACTTGAAGGACCAATCGTATAAGGCTCATGAAGTTGAAGAACTACTTATGGATTTTTGAAAGAAATATTTGTACTAAATAGCACTAAAACATACTCCCTCCGTCCCCCTGTATTTGTCCACATTTGACTTTTGGAACTGTTCATTTACGCACTTTGAGTTATCAAATTCTCTCAATGTGTAAACCTAAATATAGTCATGTGTGATCTTGTTTGATTTGTCTTAACATATAGATTATTGATATATAATTTTTATAATTTTTAATATACAAATTACAAGATAAAATGGATTAAAGAAGTGCATTGGATGGTGTGTAAAAATGAAAGTGGACAAATACATGGGGACGGAGGGAGTAAGTCATTTCTTTAAATAGCACTTAAATTGTTTTATTCCTTAAACAGCACTTAATAATGTCCATAATGTCTAGTGATGACGAATATTTACTTGAATAATGACTAATGCATAATGACTAAAAGTGCTACATTGTGAAGAAAAACACATGTGGTTCTTTTTGGGGAAAGTCATTATGTTTTAGTACTATTTAAGTAAATTTCTCTTTTTGAAACTTGAAAGATCTATCGTGAAGAATTTATAAAGTTGAATGACCAATGGTGAATTTTAGTCATTGACAAATTTCACTATAAAAATGATGCAGATGAAATTCACGAGCGTCTCATTTGGGTTGTCGACGGTGTTCGTCAGCTTTCTAACGATAGTCTACACCCCATTGGTGGTGGCGAAGATCATAAAGTGGGCCCGGAAGCGGTCCCCGACGCAAAGAATGGCCCTCCAGTGGCTGAACGCGGCAGACGAGCTCCGGATCCTCCTCTGCCTGCGTGGCAAGCAGAACGTGTCGTGCGCGATCAACCTGATGGAGATCTCGCGCGGCGCGCCCGACCCGGGGATCATGATCTACCTGACCGACATGATCGAGCTGACCGACCGGGTGGCCGCCACCGTGACCAGCGGGAACACCGACGTGGTCACCGTCACGGACCCGGAGGTGGTCCAGATGAGGGAGGAGATCAAGTGCTCCGTGGAGGAGTACATCTCGGAGCTGGGGAACAGCGAGGGCATAAAGGTCAAACAAATGATGGCGCTCTCGACACTGAACAGCATGCACCAGGATGTGTGTATCCTCGCCGAGGACCTTATGGTCCATTTGATCGTTATGCCGTTTCACAAGAACCCCACGCCCGACGGGAAGCTCGACGCGGGCCACGCAGGGTTCCGCCACGTCAACCGGAAGGTTCTGAGGCACGCTCCGTGTTCCGTGGGAATCCTCGTGGACCGAGGGCTGGGCGCGACGTTGTTGGTTGCTGGATCTAAGCTGCACGCCGCCGTTATCTTCATCGGCGGTAAAGATGATAGGGAGGCTCTATCATATGCAGGTTTGTACTTCCTCCCTCGCTCCAACAATTTCTTTGGATTAATATTCACACAGTGATACTTTACTTATTTGTTGCCAAATTTGTCTGTTATAGATGATTAAAGTTTGTCTGTTTTAAAATAGGGCGGGTGGCGAAACATCCGGATGTGAAACTGACGGTGATAAGGTTTTTGCTGGAGGCGACGGGCCGGGACGGAGACAGCGTGGCATCAAGAATAAACAAAGCGAAGGCCAACACGGCGGAGCACCAGGAGGAGATGAAGCAGGACGACGAGTGCTTCGCGCAGTTCTACGACCGGCACGTGGCGGGCGGGCGGGTGGCGTACCGGGAGAAGTACCTGTTGAACTCCGGGCAGACGTTCTCGACGTTGCGGTCACTGGAGGGGCAGTACCAGCTGTTCATCGTGGGGAGGGGCGGCGGGAGGGTCAACTCGGTGCTCACGGTGGGGATGAACGACTGGCAGGAGTGCCCGGAGCTGGGCCTCGTCGGGGATATTCTCTCCGCCTCCGCCACCGCCTCTGTTTTGATAATCCAGCAACATAGCTTCAAGGGAGAACTTGATGGTGTTCAAGATGAATTCTCCATTATGTGAACCTACCTACTATTTGTTTTTTCAATTTTCCCCATTGTGAAGTAGTCCATTAAATATACAATATAAAGTATAATTTGAAATTCAATTAAAATTTAAAGAGAAGAATGATTAGAAATCTCACTAAATAGGACTAAAACATAAAAAAAATATCAAAATATGAGCTCTATATTTTTATTTCCGAAATAAGATTTCGCTTTATATTAATGTGGTACTGTACATGTGCACATTACCATACTTGTTAATAATGTACATGACAATGTTTAGTAATATAAATACATTTTAACTCTTATTTTAAAGATAAAAATATGGAAATCCTATTTTGATATATTTTCAATGTTCTATTCTAACTTTCATCTTTTTCTCAAGAATTATTTAGAACTAAACAATTTTAAATTTTGCAAAGATTGAAAAGAAAGAGTCAACGAGGAAGTTAAAAGGGAATGGTTGGGATGCATTGTTTTAGGGGTAACTATGAGGTGATGGATTGTGGAGCTGGAGACATAGCCTAGCTGGTGGCCGGCTACGCCTCTATGGTATATGGCCTATGATATGAGATGAGTGTATATGGGGAATTGAAATTAAATTATTAGTGTTCAATTGGATCGATCCCTAATACGGAGTATCAGATATTCAAAAGTAAGTTTCTGATAAGTAAAATCCATTCCATATCCTATACGAGAATAATCAGATATTGAATTTTCGGGGAGGATCAATGGAATATCCGAAATAATTTAACATTTTAGCTAAAATTTTCAAAAAAATGTAAAATGGCAAAATCAATCCATAAATGCTTCCAAATTCAACATAAACTTGTAAATAAATTCAATCGAAGGCATATACCAATATTCAATCAAAAGGCATGCACAATGATATAAAATGCATGTCAGTGTAAATTTTATCAATTACACTAACATTTTATACCAATATGAAACATGAAAATGCCAATGTATCTCTTTAGGATACAATTTAGAGTACTTTTTTAGTGTACTCCACACAATGTGAACTGCTCATATATCCACAAACTATTCCCGCCATGTCTTCTTATATACTCCCTCCGTCCACATTTAAAGTTCCCGCTTTGACTCGGTGCGCAAATTTAGGTAGAATGAATATTGTGTTGACTTTCCCTTTATGCCCCTCATCTTTTCTACCCCTGGTCCCCTGCACACCCCACCCCCACTGGAGCCGTCTACCCTTGTACACCGCCGTTGCCGCTGCTTCTGCACCGCCATCGCCGCCGCTTCTGCACCGCCGCCGCTTCTGCACCGCCGCCGCCGCCGCTTCTGCATCGCCGCCGCCGTCGCTTCTGCACCGCTGCCTCCGCTGCTTCTGCACCGCCGCCTCCGCCGCTTCTGCACCGCCGTCAATGATGCTTTCGCATCCCCGCTGTCGAAAGCTCTGGGCATCGCAGTGCCCCAGCCGTCGCAGCCGCTAGCATCCCTTTTGCTGTCACAACCCCCTGCTATTTTTAGACTTCTCGTTAGGGAAGAAAATAAAAAAAATTGTTCCTCCAAATATAGATCTGACGAAGATGGAACCAGATCTAAAAAAATTCTTCTTTTAATTAAAGAAAGAAGAAGGAAGAAAAACAAGAAAAAAATGAAGAAGAAATAAGAAGAAGAAGACGGAAGGACAAAGAAGAAGAAGAAAACAAGAAAAGAGGAGAAGAAAACAAGAAGACGGAATTGAGAGGAAGAAAAGAAAGAAAAAGGAGAAAAGAAGAGGGAGAGTGGGGAGGGTGGCTGACGAAGTGGGAAGGAAGAGAAAAGGAAAAAGAAAAAGAAATTTAATGGATGAGGGTAGTTTTGTCTTTTAACTCTATAAAACTTACTAAAAAAGGAAATGGGAACATTATTTGTGGACGGACCGAAAAGGAAAGTGGGAACCTTATTTTTGGACGGAGGGAGTATATGTGAATAAATGCAACATGGAAAAAAACAAATAGTTCACAAACTTTCCTTTTGTGAATTTTAAATTAAAAAATCTTTTATTATTTAGATACATTTTATTTCTATAAAAATGTTAAAAAGCAAGTTTGAAAATTTTGTGAGGTGTTTGTTTGTGACTCTAGCACCATGGAAAAAGAGGAGTGGTACTAACTACTAAGAGCATGAACAATGGCAAAACGAAAATGAAATGTCACACGGTGACATGAAACATTTTAGCCAATCAAAAATAGTCCAGTCAGCGTGTGGCAAGTGCAAGGAGTGACATGTTCTATAATGGCAAGTCATTATTTTTTATCATTTTTTACATTTTTTTATGTTTTTTAAACATAAAAAAAATATTTTTATTATTTAATTTTTTAAAAAATTATTCTACTTTCTTGTACATTTTTTTCATAAAAAATTTAAAAAAAAATTACTGAAAAAAAAGAAAAAGGAAGGATGGAGTGTCACACTCATGACTCACCAAGCAAGACATTTTGGCCTTGCAATGATAAGAGTGGAAAAAGCTGATCTGGCAATGCAATGCATCCCTTTTCCTTGCCACTGCATATGCTCTAAGAATAATAAAAGGTGATGTGGTTGATGGTCAACAATTTGAATGGTGGGTCCGCTGTCGGGTCTCCCATGTAACCATTTCTCGTCAAAGGCCGGTCTTGAACTCAACCCGGCCCTCTTTTTCGTCTCCTACTAGTCAAATGAATGTTGTCTTCTTAAAAGGCTATATGCTACACCTCCTCATTAATTTCAGAATACTATAGTATGTCTCCCTTTAATTTAAATTGCACATTATTTTCAAGTATTCAAATTTAATTTTGGTCAATATACACTCCACCTCAAAAGCAGCCTAAAACAATTTAATACTCTCCCACAATCTATAGAAGCTTTTGTTTCACTTCTTACTTTGCCAAATACTCCCTTCGACTTGATTTTTTTTTCTTATTTTATTTGTTCTAAAAAAATTTTATATCTTTAATTAAAAAATCATTTTCACCATTACTAATTTCAACTCTACATATCACATCACATTTAATCACTATTAACCTATACATCAAACTTTACTTTTTATCTATCACATCAAAGATATTTTTGAAAACTCATCAACAAAATAAGATAAAATTTACTCCATACTCCGGTAATTTGGTTGCGTTTGACTTCATTGATCATTTCATGAATAAAATAGGCATGTACACGATACACCTCTTCAAAAAAATGACTTGTTACTACTTACTTTCAATACTCCCTCTTCGGCTCTTCCCACAATATTTGTCAAATTTTGATTTTTTAAGGTTAGTTGACTTGGAGCAATTTTGTGATACATAACTAAGAAAAATCATATAAATATTAATTAGATAAAATAAAATTTTGAATAAATATTTTATAAAATAAACCACTAAAAAATTGGTTCAAAATCTTATATCAATTTATTATGAGTAAATTTAATAAACAGTCCTAGCTAATTACAATTAATTTTCATATTTAGTACTCAATTTTAAGAAATTACATAAAAATATAAATGGTCTATACTTTTTTGAAATTATTCCATATTCAGGTTTTTCAGGAGTATGTTAGTTATACTTTTTATTTTTTTACTAGTTTGCAACTAAGATTAATTTAAAGAATACTCCGTACAATTTTGCACACAATTTGAAAGAAATCAGTAATAAAAGAGAAACAATGAGTCACATTGGAGTCATCATCACAATAATAAGAGCAGAAAAGTAAATTAGGATTGACAAGATAGATTTACACCAAAATTGGGGAGCTGATCAAGCACAGAATTTAAAGTCCTTCAAACCTTCATCTTCTTTAAGTCATCTCATGGATTTCACTCCCTCTCCTACGTAACCTACCCCTACCCCCCCCCCCCACCCTACCTACTCAATGCTCCCCCTTAAATGGCTAAGTCACCTCCATTTCCCCATTATTGTTACCCTCTTATTATTATAAGGTCACATGTTAATGATGTTATGAAGAAGCTTAATAGATGTCATGTCACATATATTTCTCTTTGAAAACGGGTAATTGAGTAAAATTATTCAATTATTAGAGTAAAAGTTTAGCATTATCGTTTCAAAAAACAGTTATATAACGGTAGTCTTTAGCTACAACATTTTCAAAATTAATATTTACCATTAGAATTTAATCAAAAACCCTAATCAAAGAAAAACGATGTTCTCAAACAAGATCTATATATATATATATATATATATATATATATATATATATATATATATATATATATATATATATATATATATATATATATATATATATATATATATATATATATATATATATATATACTCTCACACAAAACCCCACCAAACAAGAACACCAATAGAAAAAGAATTGCACCTGCAGCGCTTCCATGGTGTAATTAGCAGGTACCTACTTATGTAAACAGAGTTCAGTAATTTACACAAAACCCTAACCATAAATTCATTAGAGTTTAGAAGAGAAGAACCCTAACATAGTAATCAAGCTTCATAAAAAGAGGCAAAGTAATTAATAATTAGATAAATTAAAGGCTGAGTTTGGCATAAGTTTAAAAAATCAATCTGATCTACACCTTAAAAGTTTTATTCAAATCGCTGTTCCCAAACGTGGCCGAAAAGAGTACTATCATTAGATATATGGATTGAGAGGAATGAAGCCTGGTCCGATGCCGAGTTCACTCAACCACACAGTCCATCATCGTCATCATCATCATCCCTAACGAGTGACAAAGACGACGATGTCGTACAAGGAACGCCACATCGAGCCAGCCAACATTCCCCTCAACCTCTTATATCTCCGCCGCCTTCTTCAACTGCTCCGGCCGCCACCAGACCATTATATTTATCCATACTGTATATATACACACGACAAAACCCTAAAATATGTAAACCTAAGAATATGATGATTTTGTGGGTACCCTCTCAAGGCTGGCTTTCTTCAACTTTATATACTCCACTACGGAGTAATATATACATATATATACTGTATGTATGTGTCTGTTTATAGTTTATACTTGAAAACCCTAATAGCTATGGTGGTTCTCTTTTATAGGAGAAACCTAACGGGGTGGGGAGAGTCATTGGGGTTGCCGCCCTCGATCCGGTTTTATTGGTAATTATCTAATCATATACTCCCGAGTAATACGCCTTCCTAAAACTACCAAATTTCCTTTTCCCGTCCTCCCATTGGAATTCTTCCCTTCCAATGAACTTTAAGGTCAGCTATTTTTTAATAGGGTAATTTACTTAAATAGGACTAAAACACAATGATTTTCTCAATAAATGATCATATGTTTTTATTTCTCAATGTAGGAACATTAGTCATTGTTCAACTAAATATCCAGTATCACATGGACATTTTTCTTCTCACTAGTCATTATTAAGTCCTATTTAGTGAATAAAAAAGTTTTAGTCCTATTTAGTGCAAATTTTCCTTTTTAATAAGGTACACGTAGTATTATATAAGTCAAATGTTGAAAATGATTAACCACAAAAAATAAAAATTGGATAAATATTCAGGGTCAGAGGTAATAATTGGTATATAAAATAATTAGTAGTTGATGGGTAATAACCCATGGGTACCGCCCGGTAGGTTTGACCGACTGGGAGGTACCAAATGTAGCGCCGCCTGACTTGTTTGACCCGGGCTGCCCGACCGGTTGGAAGGCGAAGATACAGATTCTACGTACTATTGAAGTCGGCCTAGGGAACCGGTCAGTGAACTGACCGGCCGGATAATCAGAGACGTGCTTGACGTGCTTGACGTGCTTAGGATTATTAAATACCCTTAAAAGCCTCATTTGTGAGACATGCTTTAATTAATCCATACGGCTTGTACTTTGTAATAGCTCCTATTATCATTAAAAACAAACCGGGTTACAGTTGTTTCCACCTACAGCCCTCCCAATCACTTATACTTAATATTTGCACGGTAATTTACACCATCAGTAGTGATAAAAAGGATTTTTAATATAAAGTGAAGTGATTTAATTTTTTGGATGGAAAAAACTCAAAGGATAAAACTTTTAGAGGTAAAGGAAGTATTACCCATTCCAGGATATTTGTCTATTTTTAGTTTTTCACAGTTTAAATTAACAAACTTTGACCATAAAGTAATTAAAGTTTATATTAAATCACCTTTCTTCTTTCTTTTTTATCCGTTCCAAAAAAATTTTCTCATTTCCATTAAAAAGTCACTTTTACCATTATTAATTCTTAATCTACATATCACATCACATCTATTCACTATTAATCTATCCATCAAATTCTATTTTTTATCACATCTAAAGATATTTTTGGAAACTTAATACCATAATACACTTCTCTCAAATTCATTAAACAACAAAACTTGCCATGTTTTTAGGGACGGAGTGAGTACGTAACTTTAAGTGAAAAATGAAGAATTTATTTGGAACGAATATGAATGAAAGAATTTTTTATGAGATGGAAGGAGCAGTATCCTTTTTTATATCCCCGTTTTGTTTGTTTAGAATATCAAAAAAAAAAAATTAGATAAAGGTCCAGTTAGCAACCGACATTTCAACGTTTAATTTAGCGTTTAAATTTTTTTATCCAATTTAATGATAATATTTAGCATTAACATTTTTTATGTTTTCTAATTATTTTTCTTGAAATATATTCTATAATAATAAAATAAAAATAAAAATTAAAAAAATTCAAAACTAAAAAGAAATAAATTTAAAATTTAAAAATTTCAAAAACAAATGAGATGAGAAAACCAAATGTAAAAATTCTTAAGTAATTGAAAGTGAAATTTAATACTCCATTATGTAAAGATTGAATTTTTACATGTAAAAAAATAAAAAACAAATATCGTGTGTGTGTATGTATGTGTGTGTGTGTCTATATATATATATATATATATATATATATATATATATATATATATGTATGTATGTATGTATGTATGTATGTATGTATGTATGTATGTATGTATGTATGTATGTATGTGTATGTATGTATGTGTATATTTTTTTATACACACAATTACAAACAGCTAATTTTACCAAATATTTTAACGACCATCAACCTCATCTTGCTGGTCAAACCAACTAAGACAAACAGCCATTCACATCAGTTGACTCGAACTCGCAACTAGGGGTGAGTTCGGTTTTGGCGGTTCGTTTTGTAATTTCTATTTTTTAATTATACACCGTTTTTTCATATAAAATGATTTGAGAATAGCTTCAGTCAATCATCATAAACCAAAACAGACGATTTAAATTGGGACAGAAGGAGTAACATTTTTAAGTTTTAGATAAGTTGATTGGTATATAACAAGTGTTGTGCTGTTAAGAAGTGTTAAGCATAGCTAAAATTATGTGCTTTCATTTTAACGAACCAAACATACTCTAAAATGTCTTACTCAAGATAGTTCATTTTAAATTTTTAGAAAGTGCTTTCATTTTAATTTAATTAATTGAAACTTAATGGAAGAATTAAAAAAATTATATATTGAAAAAATAAATGGAGTAGTATTAAAAAATGAACACACAATAGGTGGTTGATATCAACATGACATTATCGTCTCTCTTGCTTAGAACAATATGTAAAATATCATCTCTTTAATTTTAAAATTATTTTATTTTCAAATTAGTATAAAAATAAAAAATAAATTACATATTTAAAAGCTACTCCCTCATCCCAAAAACTCTTTCAATTCCCATTTTATTTGTTCCACAACCCTTCTTATTTCTATTAAAAACCACTTTTAATCTTACTAACTCTTAACCAAATTATGACATCATACTTTTTTTTATTAATAACATACACATCACATCTACTTTAATCCATTACATTAAGAATATTTTTAAAAAGTCAACATAAAAATATCTCTCACTTAAGTTCCTAAAAATCAAAATTAAAATAATTTTCGAGATAAAGAAAATACACCACGAGATTTTATTTCATTAAATGATCAATAAATAAAAGTACCAAAACGCGATAATATTAAGTTGACGAAAACTTTGAGAGGGAGAACATTATTTATGTGGAAGACATAGACGACGTGACACAGTGTATTTTGGCTCGGAAAACGGTGACCAAGCCAGCTTTATTTTTATATATTGAGTCAACGCCAATAATTAGGAAGACAAATCACTCATTAATTAATTTTGGCTTGCCTGATAACTTTACTCCTAAAAAGGTTTGAAATTTTTTTTAGTTTGGGATAATAAAAAACAGAAAAGCGTAATTTGGGTTTGAAGGAGTATTATTAGTAAGTACGCTGAGAAAGTTTTATCCTAAATATGATTTACAAATCTTACTCCTTTTGTCCCTAAATAAATTTTCCCTTTCATTTTTTCTTTGTCTCAAAATTAAATTTTGATTATAAATTGGTAGCAAAGAGTGAAACTTGTGCAAGTGGCAGAGGCCCTATGCTAATTATCATAATTGTTTTTCAGCGTAATTATCAGAAATCAAAATCGAATTTTACTTCCTTCACACTCTTTACCATTGTTAACTAGCAATACAGTTTTAAATTTTATGTGTAACATCAAAGTAAATTAAAAAAAAAATAGTAACACTGATCACAAATGTTGTGAAACGAAGTAACATGACTGAAAATGCCGTATGAAATTGGGTGAAAATAGTTTTTTTTGCCGTTGGTGTAAAAGGGTCCGGATTCTGAAAATGGACGGCTGAGATTGGAGGATCGGACTTGTGGGGTCCCACGGGAGAGAAGTGAATGCAGACTCAGTATTACGCCACCCAACCCCCCTTCACTTCCACCCTCCCCAATAAATACGGAGGGGACGGTGTGGGTCCCTGGAAGAGAGAGAGAGAAAGAGACCGGACAAAAAAAAGCTAACGTTAATTTGGGGGGGGGACGTGGGTGGGTCCCGCAAGGGGAAACAATAATGATAAAATGATAAGTGTTGTGTCTGTCTGTGTTCATAGCCACAGAGACTTTTGACGACAGCCAGCTAAGCTAAGAAGACTTCTCTCCCTCCCAATTTATTTCACCTTCTTGGAAATAAATTTCTCCATTTTAAAATCTTTTCAATGGATTTTGTAGAATTTGATAAGAGGGAAAAAATATTCTGTATATTGAATTGTTCTGTGAATACAAAGATCTAACCCCATTTATATAGGAAGAGAATAAAGCATATAAGTAAACTTCTATTCCTACCATATTTCTATTCCTACTAAAACAAGAAATAAACAAACTAGGAAAGATACTAAATCGAATCCCAAAGGGATTCAGTTTCCTTCTTCGATATGACTTCCTTCTTCTGTCGCCAACAGATTTCATCCAGGTTTCTCCTCTTTTCGTCCTTCAATTATTATTATTTTTGGCCTTTACTCAGCATCCACTTTTATTTGTGTAATANCCCAATTTATTTCACCTTCTTGGAAATAAATTTCTCCATTTTAAAATCTTTTCAATGGATTTTGTAGAATTTGATAAGAGGGAAAAAATATTCTGTATATTGAATTGTTCTGTGAATACAAAGATCTAACCCCATTTATATAGGAAGAGAATAAAGCATATAAGTAAACTTCTATTCCTACCATATTTCTATTCCTACTAAAACAAGAAATAAACAAACTAGGAAAGATACTAAATCGAATCCCAAAGGGATTCAGTTTCCTTCTTCGATATGACTTCCTTCTTCTGTCGCCAACAGATTTCATCCAGGTTTCTCCTCTTTTCGTCCTTCAATTATTATTATTTTTGGCCTTTACTCAGCATCCACTTTTATTTGTGTAATATTTACCATATTTATATGATTCAATTATATACATATTTTGGCAAATGGTTTAATCAATAGTAAATTCCCAAATTAGTCCTCGGTAACATGAGTTTTTCCCAATTTAGTCCTCCATAAAGAGTAATGAATAAGATGATCCTCTATAATTAGGATTCTTCCTCAAATCGGTCCTTTTTCAAACTGCCGTTAATGTACTGTCAAACTTGTAGATAAGTTTGTAATTTCCTTTACCCCTCTCATAACCTTTCATTTACTGTACCTTTTAGAGTAAAGAGACACACTCCGTATTTTACACAGAGGACTAAATTGAGGAAAATCCTTGATGAATCTTGACCCAACTTTCCATTAAGCTTGAATGTTACTTTCAATGCTCTTAAGTTACAATAATTATACAAATACCAAGGATTAGCAGTAAAAAAAAAACTTCAAAGGAGTGTTCACCTATACCTGCAATTCTGCAAATGAATTTTTTCAGGAAATGGGGGAATCAATAGAAAATTAGCAGTCAACACTTTTCGAACATACACGCAGGCTTTAACCCTAGGAAATATGCACAATGTTCCAAAACGCTAAAAAAAACCTTAAATTGAACAGATGGTATTTCAGCGCCGAAGATTGAAGGCATCCCTCTCTTCCGTTTTTGGCAGGCCGTGCTCTTCAAAATGGGCGATTGAGTACCCACTTTGGATTTCAAAATTCTCTCCCTTCTTCAAAGTATACTTTATTCAATGTTTGGTTTAATTGGTACTGTACATTACAGTTAGGTGAAAGGGGGGGTAAGGGAAGTACTCCGTGTAAAACAATCTAGATAGAGGTTAGGTGAAAATTTAAGGTAAAATTAGGAAGTACTGTATAAAACAGTTCAAGTACTCCGTATTTAACAGGAGGTTGACGGCAGTTTGGAAAAGGACTGGTTTGAGTAAGAATCCCAATTATAAAGGACCATCTTATTCATTACTCTTTATGAAGGATTAAATTGGGAAAAACCCATGTTACCGAGGACTAATTTGGGAATTTACTCTTTAATCAATTACTACTCTCTCCGTCATAATTTAAATCGCATGTTTCGATTTAGGATATTTGATTCAAATTATTTTTAAATTATTTTATATGAAAAAACAGTGTAGAATTAAAAAATAAAAACTACGGAGTACATATTTAGAAACTACAACGAAATTCTACCAAACTAGTGGTGACATGACTATATTATGTTATCAAATGACTAACGAAAATAAGAAAAGATAGTAATGAAGCCTGACCCTGTTAATAGTAAATATGTAATTTAATTTGGGACGGAAGATGTACTAATTAAGTAATCATACCTATTGTTTTGTTAAATATTTAAACATTGTTTTTAAATATTCCGTATATAAATGTTATATTTATTTCTAAACTATTTTAAGATAAACTAAATTTAAAAAAAATTAGTTTGCCACTATTTTAAGTAGAGATAGAATTATTATATTTTGTAGAATGCGTAAAAAATGAAAGAAAAATTATTTTTTCAAATGGAGAGAATGTTAAATTTTTGTTTAGGATGAGGCCATGATAAAATTTAAGAACAGAAGTTTTGTGATTAACATTTGTTTTAGAAAAAACTACTCGTAAAAGATGTCATCATAGACAGATGGGAAAAACAAGAAATTAATATGCACTCGGTAAAAAAAAAGTGGGTTATGGAGGAAAATGCCAACACAAAAAGACACATTTCTCTGTTAACGAGGAAAGAGAAGACACGTGAATCTACCACGCAGTAAAAAAGATACTCACTCCCACACAAAATCTCAGCCCGTCAGATTGGATAGATTATTATCACACAGTTTCATTGAAGTGGCAAAATTTTTACTGTCAAAATGCACTTCCGAAGACATGACTAGAAATAGCAAATACTGTCAACCAGTGCACTCCATCCTCAAACATTTACTCCGTATTTAGTTTGTACTTTTTTTAATTAATCGCTTTCAATCTTCATTTATAATTAAATAAAATATATATTGTATATTAATTAAATAAAGTAATATTTTGAAAATTTTGTTATATGATAAATCTAATAAAACTATTATTGTATCAATATCTAATAATATTTTTGATGATGCAAATTACCGCCCAAGCAAACTAATCTAGTGTGGGTGATTTGTTGAGTTTAGATACTGAAAAAACTCAGAAAATGAAGATTGACCGGAAGGACTATAGGTGAGAACACATGTAGTCCAATTGTTTTTAAGTATGAGAAGAGTATAAGGAGATATTACGTTTTTAGAGAGATGAAATTCAGATCCCTTCTACTAAGGATTACAAGCCTATTTATAATGAAGCTAGGGGGCAAGGTCGCAGGCACTCATGCCCGGCCACGTGCTTGCCACGTGATGACATGACATTTCCTTGTCTTGTGGCGTTTGTCCCTCCATGGATGCTTTCCTCTATGACTGTCTTCCTTGGCACGTAGTGCTTGGGTGGGAATGTTTGAGAAAAGTCTTTGGGTGTAGAGCAATCTAGTTTGGACTAGTCGCTTCCAAGCCGCTACCGTTCGACCGTGTTGGGTTGTCATCACGTGCAAGTTAGTACCAGTCCCAAAAATGCTCTTGGACGATTCCTCGGCGGACTTTCTTGCTCACTTGAAAATCTTCCGCGATGAGAAGCTGCCTTACTAGTGGCCATATAGTTACCCAGGTGATTTCTTGAAGGATCCTATCTGATCGTTAGATGTGTCATGCCGCTAAACTTGCAATATGCAATTAACGTGAAGGATAGATTAGGATCCGGACTTGCTAGGGGGGATAGGGAGGGAGATTAGAGGATGAGAACTATCAATTTTACAAACAAAATGCCCTACTTATCCTAATGGGAATGGTGTCTTCTGTGGCCACTCAAAGTACACATGCCATACAACCATACGATTTTTCTTTAGCACGAGAAGATATGTTCATACTTTTAAATAAGTACTTTTATGACCAATTTTACATTACAATAGCTCGAACATATATCCCAATCCAAAAGTTCTTAAAAGCCTTTCTATGTTTCCAAGAGTAACAATGCCTAGTCATGTTGCATTTCCTATTGGTTGTGTGACATAGGCCATGCAGCATTATCTTTGGCAAAACTAATCTTATTATAATGCTACAACTGTCCACCTTTCTTGATCAATTATACAAAGAGATAAATAAACCATTTGCAGCGGAAAATAAAGAAATGGCAGTAAAGGAAATGAATTTTCAAACCACAATATAAATCTCATATGCCAAGCATTTCTTCCATGAGAGTATAGTTTGATTACAGCTCAGTGCAATATTGGCACTAGAAATGCTTTTGCAGCTTCTCATAGAAATGCATCCTTCTCGAGGAGCTTCAAGACGTCTTGCTGGTTGTTCAGTTTCGCCACCTCTATCGGCGTCTTACCGTCCATGTTTTGAAAAGTCCTGCACAGAGAAAACAATGCCAAAAGGTGAAAAACGGTCAGGCCGCTTCTACTCAACTTAACATAAAGGACAGTTTGGGAAGAGAAGAAATGACTTAAAAGTCTTTTTTTCATTTTTTTTGGTATTCGCCTATTCCGAAATATAGGGGTCAATGGAAATGGTTCCTATGAGTAATTTTTCCGGCGGAATAAAATGCTCCAACTTCTTAGATTGATACTCACCACGTCTTATTATGTTCTAATAACAAAAACTTTTTTTTTTTCATTTACCCAACTCTTCAACCAAAAACCAGAAGATGAATTCATTTTCAAGAAGCCATTTTCTATCTATCCAAACAGACCCTAAGTTAATTTCCGTTCAACACTTATCAATCCATTTCAGCTGAAAAGAATATTGTTTGTGGAGAAAGAAAATGAACTTACACAGCAGCACCGTTCTCTAGCAGAAGAGAAACGCACTCCTTTCTGCCATACCCGGCAGCATAATGGAGAGCAGTGTTCTTGTTCTTGTCCAAAGCATCAACCTTCGCCCCAGCTTCAAGAAGAATTTGAGCACACTTCACCTGTTTGTGTATTTTATCAAGGGCAATTTGTTAATCCCCCAGGAATGAAAGTTAACATGAACAAAGAAATAAGTGGTATAGTGGAAATTGTGGAATATTTAATGAATAATCACCACCTTTGTAGTTTTTTTTACCTCGCATGGATGATGAGAAACCAGGAAGATGCTAATGAAGAACATAGGATAAATAGAAATAATGGAACTGAAAATTGAATAAAATATATTGAAATTTAAAACAAAAAATGCTCAAACTCATCAAACAATTTTGAGATATTATCGAAGTATAATTCATTATATTTAGTTCTTTAAAGACATTTAATTTCCTTATTGTTCGTGCATCTGAAGGTAGAACAAAAAACATTTCAACAACAAAGGAAGGTCCCAAAGTGGGGCCTGGGAGGGAGACCTTACCCCTACCTAAAAGGGAAAACAAAACATAAGACAATTAGAAACATTGGAAAAACTGTTCAGAAGCATTATAAGTTTTGCAGCTTGGAAGAGAGGAGACTGATTTTGGTGCTGCTTCACACACTCCTACATCATTTCAAATTCCCCAACTCCAAAACGTAATTCATGGTCATGCAGTTATGCCGCCAATCATGGTTGGTCAACCCGATGTTAAATCCCAAGAACCCAATGATCTTGCAACCTTTTGCTGCCTCCCTGATAAAGATTGTTGGCAGGCGCTGGATGTCAAATGGACAAGAGCAGCAGCACATCTACATTTTCTTCAGGGTGATCCTATGGTTTGTGATCCAATTTGGGTACTAATGGATCGTAGGTTTTTTACCCGACTTGGTACTAAAAAACTAGACACAATGTACTATTGGAAAGCATTTCACTTCTCTATTAATAAGAGACAGCCAAAACTCTTCAAATCGCCAATAATCAACGCTTGATGAACAAATGAACAATATAATATCCATTGTGCATCACAGACTAGCAACTGCTTCTTCCCAACTGGAAAATTTGCTAGTCTTATTTTCATTTTAGTATTACTCTTTTCCACTTGTGTATAAGAACACACACAGGTCACACACACAGGTAAAATCTTTAAAAAGTAGGATCTTGAGATCCTTGTAGTGCCCTTATGATTGAAGGATCTACCTATGTTGCATGGGTTTTTTAAATAAGTGCCACTCTCCATCCCCAAAAGGTCCCCATTTGGGTACTTGGGACGTCTCAACACAAATTCTTTATAAAATTTGGAAAAACTGTGTTCACAGATTTCCAAACACGCCCCTATCTTGGTGCAACTTAGAGTTCTACCATCCCCTCATAAGTCATAATCCTAGAAGCTAGGTACAACTCCAAATTTTACAACAGTAACAGTCTGCCACCAATATAATTTCTACAGCAAGGGCTATTTTTTGGGGCACCGCAATAGAACAATGTGCCATATTTGTTCCTCGCAAATGATTATGGAGGATTTATTAGGAGTACTATGATCCCAAGAAAGGACAAGGGTAAATGAGGTTCAAGGTAAACAAACCGCAAATGTATTGCTGCAAAGCCAGTTACAGTGAATAGAAAAAACAAGGACAATATTTAACTCACTAACCTCCCCATATCCACAAGCAAAATGAAGTGCTGTCCTTCCTTCTGAATCTTCTTCATCTATATCAGCACCAGCAGCAATTGCATTTCTCAAACCCTGAAAACAAACAAAATAGTATTATGGGTCACAAAAATTGCACACACAAATAATGGCTGCCTGTTCCGGTGTGCATCTAAAAGGACCTAGCTTTTTACTACCCCCAAAAAAGAAGCAACGTATGAAATTGGCGTGCAATAAAGAAACAAACAAGAGCTTGAAAGAGCTTAAAATATGAATGACAGAACAAAGGCAACCATAGCATATATATATATATATATATATAAGAATTTAATACTCTGTAATACACATAGTGAATAAGAATAAGACTAAAAAAGAAAAACAAAAAGTGAGATGTGAATTGCAATTGTGTGGGTCAAGTGAGTCAACTAGTTGAGCAAACAAGAGATTAAACAAAATGTCATAATAATTACTCTGTATAATAATCAGCATCATTAGACATTATATGAATTAAAAAACATAATAAAAATAAATCAACTAAAAAAAAGTAAGAATCGACTATGCTAAAAAGGAGGAGTGTTGTGACCAACTTGCGCTGCAATTGCACCTAAGATAACAAAATTTTTGCTGGCGATGGAGTCCTGAAGAAGAATCTACTAAAGAGACTCTGGAGCGGTTTACGAGCCTTGGGGGAATTCCGTCGTAAGAATTGGAGCGACAAGCCAGAAGAAACGCGATTAAATAGGTCAAGGTCAGTTTATTTTTTAAAAAAAAGTTTGACCAGACGCAAAGCATGGCTGGCGCACGCCACTCGCCAGAAACCCTAGCGACAAAAGCTACCGCCTCTGGTGCGCCTCAGGTAAAACGCCAAGCCACAACCCAGACTGGTGGAAATACCACGCCACAGTGCCTTTAGCGCCATAAGAGCAAATGGCGCTCGCCATTAACAACTATGCCTTCCAATTTCTCCCATAACTAAATAAATTCAACACCTCTCACCATCTTAATTCTATCCTTCGTATTTTTCCAAATCAGACAAAGGCTATATGACCTACAGGTAGTGCATTCAGAGTAAACCAATAAAAAAACCCACCTCATCATCACCATTGCCGACACAAATATGAATAATTGAATCATCTTCACTTGCTTCTTCTGCTTCTTCCGTTTCTTCTGCACCATTTTCACCAGATGTGTTTGTCTCTCCAGTAACAGAGAACCCCATTGCTTCACCCAACTTCTGTAGGACATCTTTGTCATTCCAGTACCTGAAGAAAAATATAACTTAGTATGTTATCTTACCAGACTTCCTTTCAAACGCAAAGAAAGTACGTATTTTTCCAGCAGAAGGTACCTCATCATTGCAGCAGGACCCCCACGTTCTATCTCTTCCAGAATAGGTTTCAAAGATGGATCCTCTTTGACACGTGCCATTCGTTCTTCAAGTTGGTCTTTTTGCGCAGGATTTGACAAACTATCAAGCATGCTGGACATGGAAGGATCCTGTGAAAGTCAAGAAAAGTCAGCTGTACCTCAATGACAGCAAATTAGCTATTCAATAACATCTACAAAACTAGAAAAGTGTGGGCCATTAACCTGCATCAGCGCGTTACCAAGCCGCTCAGCCATTGTCATAAACTGTGGATTTTGCATAACTTGTTGCATAGTGGAGTAGTATTCCTGAGGATCAAATTGAGGGATTCCATCTTCAGCAACGCCTTGAAATGTACCTTGAAGTTGCTGGGCCATCTGAGTGAATGAAGGATCTTTTGCTATCTGTTCGGCTAGTTCTTTAATACTTGGGTCCTACATTTGACAGATTGATCTCCCTGTCACGTTTGAGTTCTCTAAAGGTTCACACAATTACAGCACACATCTTTGACTACTTCAGATTTTTCTTGAGGCATGTTAGACAAAACTTCTTTTATGACAGCAAGAATAAAGTCACCAATATGAACATAGTGACGTTTCCAAAATCTTATAATTTGAATACACATTATTTGTTGAGTCCTGCTATTATCCATTACATTTATATGGGCTTGAGGTTGAAACAAAAAAATATTATTTGCTCTGTTCTTTGACAACACAAACGGCAAAGGAAAAAAAGAAAGAAATATAGAAGACATAAACCAAAGATATTAGAGGTTTACTGTTAACAACAACTAAGACACAAAAAGGATGTTAAAAATATAAGCGATCAAATTAGTAACGATGAAAATCTAAGTTAATCAGAGTTAAGTGGAGAGTCTTTACATTAAGGAGCCCAGTCATGGCTGAGAAATCAAAAGGATTAGCCATTCCAGATCCAGGGGCAAAGGGTGCTCCTCCCTGTGCTGATAGTGTCTCTACAGGAGTAGATTCTGAAGGCTTTTTACTATCAGCTGCACCAGAATTCTCATCTGAAAATTAAAACAGATTTTATTTCCTTTACATAAGTAATTATCACTTGACCTATGTTTTCTTCTAGCCTGTTTTCCGCTAACCACTCTTCTATTGTTAGTTGTTTCTTCTAGCCTGTTTTACTATCATTTGCTTAAAACAGAGTACTTAACAATGTTTGCTCCCCTTAACATTCAGGAAAAAAAAAGTTAAAGTATCAGTGATACAAATAAAAAGAGACTAACAAATAAGGAATTCCTTCAAGATGCTTAAGTAAATGGGATGATCTCATCAACAATTTCAACTATCAGCGGAATACAAATGACACAACGAACCAAGGAAAACATACACACCTTTTTGAGGTGGCAAACCTTTTCCCTCCTGAAATCAAACAAAAACGAAAAACGTATTATCAAAATAGAACACAGAAGATAGAATCTCATTCAGATCAGCTGGAAAAAAGGATCAAAACTTCCAGACGTCAAACATTACTACTCGATCAAGCTGATGAATGATTGTTAATACCAATCGAGTTCGATTGGATTCAAGTCAAAGCCCAATCAAAACACTAGGCCAAGCAATTCGATGATTTAGCCATAGTAAAAAGCAATAGGATTGAAATGAAACGAGAACGACTGATCGAATCAGATATTACCTGAGACATGGCTGAAGCGAGCAGGGAGAAGAGTGAGATGGCGTTCCTTCTTCTTCGACTAGAGAGAGAGAGCGAGCGAGAGAGACGGAGAGACGATGAGAAATGGGTATTAGGTACGGGAGTGAGGGGGCCCACACCAATCCTTATCTCGCATTCTCGGTGTAAAACAGAACATATGGCGCCGATAAGATTTCCATGGGCCCTGAAAGATTTCCGTGCGGGCTGGCCCGGAATTCTTCTACATATTGGGCCTGATATCTTTCCAAACCATCTCAACAAACTACGGGGTATACGGAGTAGCTTGTAATTTTACGTATTCCCCGGAGTAATTGTTTTATAACATTTTTCTGTTTTAAAATAAATTTGAATTGTTCATTTTTACTTTTTAACAATTGTTTTGAATTACATGAAATCAAATATTCCCTCCGTTCTCATTTGATTGTAATTTTTTCTTCTCTCTTCTCGATAACTTTTGTTTATTTACGCAATTTTATTAAGTATTTGATAAAATAAAATATTCTTGTCGCCTCTTGTTTTGTAGAATTTTTGACGTGGTTTTTTAAAATATAATTTTATTTTTCATCGATATACCAATTTATAAATAAAATGATTTCAAAAAGTTCTCATAAACCTCAATCAAATTAGAGACGTAGAGAGTATTTGTTTTCAAGCTTGTTTGAGAATAGCGTTAGGGATTAGCGTTAGCGCTTTGAAAAAAGGCTATCTACAGGCAGCATTTCCAAAATAATCTGCACTGTTGAAATTTTATCTAAAACGCTGACGCTAACGCTATTCTCAAAGAGACATTTCAACACTTTGACTTGTACCGTTGTACATAGAATTAAGTTGGAGGTGAGGATGCTTGTGAGTTGTGACGACACCCCATAGCCTTAGATCTTATCGTCCCGTTACCCACTATTTGTTTTCCCTCTTTGACCCTCCTCCCTCGTTCATTATTCTTCTTACGCTCTCCAACGCCCCTCTTGTCTCTTCATTCTTCTTACCCTCCCTCCCTTGCTTCTTCCTTTGTCTTTCTCATTAGGTCATTTTTCAAAACAATATTTTTTATGCAAGAAAACATATTTTATTTGGTTTGAACCAAGTGATAATATAATATAAGTCGATCTTCATGATCAACTTTCTTGTGCAATGCTGTGTTAAGATTTTGATTGGCACAATTAAACTTAATTGTTGATCATGGACAGTGGCATCCATCGCCGGAGAACGAAGTATTGCACAAAAGGAGCAAATGAACAGATGAAAAACAGATTCATTTCGCTCAAATCCCCCCGCCCATTGCAGAAATTGAATTGCTAGATCCAACTCAATAGAAATCCAAATTTATAGCTTCGATTTGAAATAAAATCGCTTTTAATGGATCCAGATCTTCATTTATGATAAGCGAAACTATTCATTATTGTTCGATGATCACAATAAGATCAAAGTACATAACCGATCGATTGATCTCCTTCAAGAAGGATGGACCTTTTTGGAATGAGAAGAGACGGCCTTGACGGCGGATCTCATGGAAGCAGCGGCAGAGCTGACGGCAGATTCGATGTACTTCCTGGCAGAGGCAGCGGCCGCCATCTCCGCTGTCTTCCCGGCGGTCCTCGCCTCCTCCGCCGTGCCGACCAGGCTCTCTAGTTCCGCCTGCGCCATCCGATCCATCTCCTCCTCGAACCGCCGGAGCTCCTCCATGGCGCTGTCCATGACGGAGTGGAGATGGTCCTCCGCCTTGTCCATGTGAGTCTCCGCCTCTCTGACTTGTTCATCCTGCTCGAGCTCCGAGGCCGCCCATGCCTTGTACGCATCAAGCTCGAAGAGCTTTATGACATCTTCAATCGCGTGCGGATCGAAGCTCTTGTCGCACAGAGCTCGGTCGGAGAGGATTTCGAACTGAGAGATCAGAGCTTCCATCTTCTTCTTCTTCTGTACGTGATTAGATCTGATGAATTGGGGGCTCTTTAAGCTCGGTGTGGGTTATTAGTGGATGACTGGAGCCGTTACCGGTCGGTGGGCGGATCAGAGCACCGTATAAAGATTCCAATATCTATCCGTAAAATATGTAAAAGGATTTTGTCGTTAAATTTCACAAATAAAAACGGAGTACTCCGTATCGTATAAGAACGCTATTATTTCACCTAGTTATTGATTTTTTATTGATTTAGAAAAAGTATATTTTGGTATTGAAATTTCAAAAAAGTCCTTTGATGTGATGGATAAAATAAGATTTGATATGTAGATTATTAGTAAAAAGGTACAATGTGATAGGTTAGTATGAAAAAATAAGGATAAAAGTGACTTTTTATTAAAAGTAATTTGGTACAGATGAAAAAAGAAAAGAGAAAGATTTTCAAGAATGGAGGAAGTAAATTTTAATACCGATCATAAAAATACATTAAACTTTACACAACGATTCTTTTGACCTTAGAATTAAATATCATATAGATGATTTCTACCTCCTAACCATTTCTGCACCCACCTTGTACCCCGCTGTCTCTCTTTGATCGTTAATTAGGCAGTGCCAAATTGGCGATCTAAGAGGAAGGAGCAATGGGGTTTAGAGAGGGCACGAATCATCTATTTTATTAATGGAGCATCGTAGGTGTTTCAAAATGATAAAATCATTTAAGGTCAAAAGTGACTCGAACCAAAAGATCTTTGCTGTAATTTCTAATATTCTTTCACAAGTGATCCATTGACCAAATTGCAGAATTACATGTCATGTACCAACGATTTTGCTTTTCTTCCTCTCTATTCGTTCTTTCTTTGTTTGTTATTCTTCTTCTTTTTTTCTTTCATAGGCAACCAAGTAACTTTATCTTATTAATACGAGTATTGAAGTTAGAACACAAGAAGTGATATTTAGTAAGCAATACTCTAACTAGATCTTTTTCGTCACACTCATTGTTACATCGAGTCAAGAAATTACCCTCAAGATAAATTCACAAGGCTAATAACATCACGCAAACTCAAAATATTTTAAATAATCAAGCTAAAAATACAATAGCCTAACGTATATAATTATAGGGAAAAGGGGCCTCAAAACAGCAATGGAGTCCACCTCAAAGAACAAGTAGGTAAAGTTGAGTCAGTTATCGAGAACTACCCCATAGCTTAGGGCTATTGCTTGAGCTCCTTTGGAGACCAATTTGCCTTTTAGTCTACCTTTTGACATAAATTTTTATGCTATGTATATATATGCCCCAACTAAAATCAAAGAGACCCCATATAATTAGGTTAATTTTTTCCTTTTTGTTTAATTGTTTTTCAAAAGTGTTTTTTATTACATATAATTAATTGTTTATAAAATAAAATTTTACATTGCCTTTTGAAAAAAGGTTTTACTTTCAATAAATGTTTAAAATAAAATTCATTATTTTTTGCCCTTACTTATACCTATTTTTTCTTTAAAAAATATGAGGGTAGGTGCTGCCCCCCGAACCCCTGATTCATGGTGTCGTGAACTATCTTAGTTCCTGGATTTGTCACTGAATGGGAGGTGGCTTTGGATCAGGACGGGGCGAGAGATTCATCGGTAGATTAAGTAGGATAGAAATCATGAATTTTACGAACGAGACATTGAAGGGCTCCCGTATCATCCCATGATATTGCTAAGCAATGTCATCCAGAGTACTAGGTACATTGATTGATTAAATTTTCATATCAACAAATGTTTATTTTATATTTGCAACACGGTTCAATTTCAAAAATTCAAATTGCACCCATGAACATAACTTGAATGGGACAAATATTCCAATATTATTAAATTGATTGATTAAATAATTGGTTTTTTTTCTAGCGTCACTCTGTGTGCACACATCCTCCAACTCTGCATTCTTCCATGCATAATGCTACGTTGGCCTGCCTTCCTCTAATTCCCCCCCTTTCTTGTCTGGTTTTTGCTTTGTGCCGGAAAGAATTCATCTCTTTTCTGCTCGGCTGTCAATCTGTGAACCAGAACCGCTCCCAATGTCTCTCTATTATATTTAAGACATTAATTAACCAACCATGTTCAAGAACGAGGTCTAAATAACTACATAAACCTTTTCAAACTTTGAGGTTTTGATCAAATTGGCAGCTAGATTAATAATCTCACCTCTAGATTGAGAAGAAGGAACAATGTTTTCCGGAGGAATTGTTAGATGTTCTATACAATTCGACAGCAGTCTGAATGGCCAAGACGACATAACCCAAGACCACCCCCGCACGAGAGGGTTCGTCTCGGGGTCATCAAAATCATCGTCGTCCCCGTCTTCGTCTTCTCCGTTAGTACGGTAGTTATCTGGTTGCAGAATGTGGGGCGAAGAATTTGGCAGGGGAGAGCGGCAAACGGGGCAGGTGTTTTTGATTTGGAGCCAGGGGACGATACAGGGAGAATGGTAGAAATGCTTGCAAGGCAACTCCCTCGCTTTCTCCCCCACCTCGAACTCCTCCTTGCAGACGGGGCAAGCCGGGTTGTTCGCCAGATGAGCCGCCGCGATCTCCACCTCCGGCAGAGATTCAATTGCCGCAGGTGTTGCGGGCGGCGGCCCCGCGCTTTCCTCTTCAATCACGGGCTCCTCATATTGTCGCTCCCAAATCCTATTTTCTGACACATAGAGAAGGTAATGTATGTATCTCAAAAGTCATAATAGTCAGTTAATTGTGAACGGGAAAGAATGGAATGAGTATATAAGTATATTCTTACGCGGCAAATAATAGAGAGCATTGAGGTCAGGAGAGACAGGCCTAGGAGGCGGAGGCGGCGGCTCGTCAGGGCCAATGAACTGCGCGATGACTTGCCGCCGCCACCGCGTGTACTGATCCCAGGGAGGGGGGTCTAGAAGGATAGTAAACGCGTCGAGCAACCCTCTTGCTCCTCCTTCTTCTTCTTCCTCCCTCCCCCTGGGATAAGCACCGGGCTCGTAGCCAATCTGGGTGAAACAACGCGGGCAGAGTAAACCGGCGGGGTTGGCGGAAACGGTTCTGATTGATCTCAGGCAACGCCTGCACCAGTAGTAATGGTAGCTTCTCGTCCTCCTCCTGACCCCATTCGCCAGGATGCCCAGGCGCGGGAACCGGTTCGCAGGCATCCGAACCGATCCGGTCGAGGGACGAAGGATTCAAGGTTATTGAATTGAATGAAGAATAGTATATAAAGACAATGGAAGCTAAGAAAGGCTTTTAATTTATTCGTGGAGATGGAAGAAGAAGTTGAGGCATTACACAAGGATGGCTTTCTGGGATTGCAGTACGTATTCTGTCTATAACTAATTTCGCAAGCCTTTTTTCTTACATTTCCACTTGTTCTCATCTTTCTTTTCTTCATCATTCATGTCTCCCTTCACCTCAAGTAAAGAACAAGTCACGAAGTTGGGCGAATTTATACTTTTTTCAACCTTTGCATCCACTCTCGGAGTGCAATAATCTTTCCCACCTTGATTATATGTGGATTGAATCGTCCATTTTTAACACAATCAATGAAGTACGGAATAAACTCAAGAATCAAGAATTCAAGATTGGCATCTCAAAAAGTGTTAGAAGTACTCCCAAGTCAATGGTGTTTATCCGTGAATATCCACAAATGACTTATATAACATTTAAGTCATTTTATCTACCCAAAAGAATTTTTTAACTTATAAGCAGTTTATAAGCTGAAAACTACTTATAAGCAATAAGTCAATAAGCATCTACACAGAAAAATAGTTACTTAATATTTATTTGCAAAACTCAATTAAATGTTAAAATAAATCACTCTCGAGTCTTTATAAACTTGATTATTCCCTTCAAACATAAAACTTGATTATTTGATAGAAATGATAAAGATATTTATCCAAAATACTTTTAAAGATCATATTAAAATCGACAATGTTGTACTGGCACTAACAGCCAGAATCATTATATGACACTAGCTACCTCGACTCGAAAATGGTTCTTATCCTCTCAGTCTCCCTAAAACATCTCGCCCAACGTGCCTCGTTGCTACTATAATTAAACCCACAAATTGATTGACATTCTTGTTTAGATTTTACTAGAATGTCAATCGATTTGGAGGTGGGATTGATGGGTGTAGTGAAGGCTAGGGAAAGATCACTAAAGATATGAATTACTTTGGGACGAGAGAGAGTGTACAAAAAAAGCAAAAGTGTTTTAGAACATTTTTAATGCAAAGTTCTTAAAGAATTACTTTACCTAGAAAAGGTAATGTGAAGTTTATGTGAAGCACATGTGGAGCAACTCTCATTAAAATTTGACTTTGGAGTCACATTTTGACTTCAAAATCAACTTGTAGGGTGCAATAGAAGGGGATGAGGAGTGTGTTCGGGTCAGGGCGAGATGAGAAGGTTTACAGAAAGGTGCGCCTCCAGGTCATCCCATGACATTGCCGGACAATGTCAGTAATGTCATGGGAACCTTGTCGTATTAACTGAGTCCAATGTTCTAAAAGATGAGAATAATTTGGGCTGAGAGTAGGCAGCCAGAGAGAGGGCCGCGTTATCCGTCTGTACCTCACTCTTTAGTGGACTCAATCGATTCCTCTCGCTGCCATGGAGGTTCTCTCCTCCGCCGTCCGCTACTGGCTACTGGACCACCCAGAAATCAGCCAATACGAGTGGAAACACGGCCACTTCACATTGGGCTCCTCTCCCCAATTCCTCGCCGTCGCCGTGATTTCCTATCTCGCCGTCACTCTCGCTCTCCGCCGATTTCACTTCCTCCCGCCCCTCTCCACCGCCTCCCTCCGCCTCATCACCGCCGCGCACAGCCTCACCATGTGCCTTCTCTCCCTCGTCATGGCCGTCGGCTGCTCCCTCTCCGTCCTCCACCAGATCCCCGATCGCGGCTGGAGATGGGCGATCTGCTTCCCGGCCGGCCGCACCCCGCCGCGCGGGCCCACTTTCTTCTGGGCCCACGTCTTCTACCTCTCCAAGATTCTCGAGTTCGGCGACACCCTCCTGATCTTCCTCAGCGGGTCCCGCTCCCGCCGGCTGACCTTCCTCCACGTCTACCACCACGCCGTGGTGGTGGTGATGTGCTACCTCTGGCTGTCGACGGCCCAGACACTGTTCCCCGTCGCGCTCGTCACCAACGCCTCCGTCCACGTGCTAATGTACGCCTACTACCTAATGTGCGCCCTGGGCCACCGCCCGCGGTGGAAGAGGCTGGTCACCGACTGTCAGATCATCCAATTCGTCTTTAGCTTCCTCATTTCAGGGGCGATGCTTTATTATCATTTCACCGGGTCGGGTTGCTCCGGGATTTCGGGCTGGTGCTTCAATGCCGTTTTCAATGCTTCCCTTCTGGCTCTGTTCCTTGACTTCCATTCCAAGAACTATCATGCCAAGAAGAACAAGCAATTCTGATTCAAAAGCTCTCAACTTTTTGAAGCAATGTGAAATTTTACTCGATTTGTTGTTGTTCTATATTTAAACTTCTTAATGGGAATTTCAGTGTAACACTTCTGATTAATAGAATGAAGATAAAGAAGGATTAAACAAATGTATACATTGAAAGGCTCATGAATCTCTTTTCTTTACTACCTACTCGTCGTTTTCTCGGCGTGTTTTTTCAGATTTTCTTGAATCTTTATTGATCTCCCCTGTTCTATGGCCGACTCTGTCCTCTGATTCATCAGTTTCATAGGGCAACACCACGACAGTGGCTGCCGGAACAGTATCCCAACGGTCCTTCAAAAAGCTCATGAATCTCAGAACCATCTGCCTTCGGAACTCAAGTTCTCTGGTGAACAGGTCGAAGATCGCGAAAGAGAGAATGTATCTGAAAGGAACAATTAGCAGAAGGGCAGCACTGAAGAGCAGCACCAGAGCAACCTCCTTGGTGATCTGAGGTTGTCCCGCGAGAACAACCGACCGGATTTTAAGCAAAGAGACATTGAGACTCTGGAGAAGCATCTCCAGATCTCTCAATGCCTCTTTCAGGGCAATGATCTTTTGGAGAGTGTTTGAAGGTGGCTGGTCGCGAATGGTGACCTTGCCAAAGTACCTCCCAAGCCGGCCTTGCTCTTTCAGCCCCTTCATCAGTAGCATCCCTCCCGCCAACGCCATTAAGGCAGCGGGGAATACGTAGGTCACCATGTCCTTAAAAATAAGGGTGTACGTCAGCGCGAGACAAGATGCAGTCAAAAGTGGGTCCTCCCAGCGTCTGAGCTTTTCAAAGTTGTTCGCCGTGACCACCAAAGGAAGCATCAGTTCCTTGAGAAGGTCTATATTGCTCGGTATTCCTTGAATCGTCGCGGCGTTAATGGTGGCCTGGGTTTTCTCCACCGCGCTGCACTTGTCTCTCCATGCCATGGCCGCCTTCTCCATCAGATTTTGATCACCAACCACAAGATCTTTACTCAAGACCATTCCTCGGTTTACTCCATCGTGTTTCGCCAAACAAGTCCTCCAGAAAGAAAGCGAAGGATTAGAAGCCCATGTGGGAGACCTCATCCATTTCCGCAAGTACGCGGTTCCATCCATGTCGAATGCGTGAGTTTCCGCCGACTCCGCCTCATGTGTTCCCGGAGGTTGACGTTCTTTCTCGGAATTCAACGGCGTTGACCAACAGTTGACCGCTAGCGTCTGCAACATGACGTCGCCATAAGGAGAGTCTTGAAGGTTCGAGAACTGGACTAGTTTGTTGGGATCTTCTAGAAGCTTCTGGGAAGCTTGAAGCGCTCGGAGTCTTGCTATCGCGTTCGTAGCATAAGCGGTTGCTTTAGTCTTCCCATGGTCGCCATCCGCCTCGGGTGCGAAATCTCGGATGAACCCATGCAGCGCAATGACTTCGTTGATGCATGCATACCACACATCCCTCCTGATCTCACCTCTCAAGTCAATAAATTCTAGCACCCATGCTTCAGAACTGTCATGCCAAAAACAAAGAAACGTACGCCGGATGAAACAATTAATGCAGAAACTAAAATGTTAACAGGCGGTGGTTTTTGGAGGAAGCTTACTCACGCCGGACCAGAAGAAACAGAAATAGCAGAGTCGAGGACATCGAATCCGAACAGACCCACCCTAGTTTTCGTTACATGACAAAAATCTTCTGTGAGACCAAGCCTTGAAGCATCTCTTTTCCCTTTCAGACCTGCAGCCTGGAAGAACACTAAAAATGTTAGAATTGGAGCAACCAAAGCAAAAGCATTCACAGTACTCAGTTAGAAGTTGAAGTACCTCAAAGTAGAGTGCCTTGTCAGTTAAAGTCAGTGTGCCAGGCCACACCATATTATTCTTCCATTTTAACACTGGGTACTTTCCTCCAGAAGCAATACACAGAACTCTCTCGTTATAAATATTGGGAGATTCTTGAAATTCATATGATTTCATTTCATCATGCACCCTGAAATTAATTTATTACAGAATGTGAATATCAAATGAGAAATTTCAACCATCAAGAACCAAATATTCAACATTTTGAAGAAGAGAATTTTCCCTAAGGAGCAGTAAAACATAGGGGTTGATCATGTTTAGCACAAATTTCTCTATGTTTTTGTGCCATTTGCAGCAGTCATTCCTTTGAAGAATGAGAGGCTAAAGTACTTGTAATAATAGCAATCTAAAAAGCTCACTTGAGGAGTTCATTGATATATGTGGACCATGAGGTGAATGAGATGCCCCCTTCCTCATCAGCCAGTGCTTTAAAAAGATCATATGCTGTTGACCAATCAGCAACACCTGAAACCGCTGGAGCAATCCGAACAAAAGCTTCTTCCCCTACCAACTTCCCTTTCAACTTTCAACCCCCCCCAAAAAATCAATAACGACGTTATGAGTTATAGAAAGTAGAAATGGAATGTCAACCTATGAACATATATATAGAACGGAAAACAACCTGAAAAGAATCCTTCTGTAGATATTCAGCTGAATAGTTATTACTTCTGGTATAGGGCTGTTCCCATGCAAGCATGGTTACATATATCAGTGTCTGAAATGCAGGTTCCTGTGAATCGAATCCATGCATCTCTCAGTTAAAGAACGATTATGTGTTTTCAAGTCATGAATGCAATGAAACTTGAATTGCTAAAGATTTGAAATAGAAACCTTAAGGCGAGGATGCATTTCAGAGGTATCCCTTGAGAGAAACCTAAAACAGCAATACTCCACCAAATTGCGGGCATCATTACGGATAGGTTCAGGAACGAGTTCCTTAAAAATCTTCTGCATTTTCTTCCCATTGACCCCGTTCATCCTGCATATCTTTCTCTTGGAATGTCAAAACTAGTAACCGCAATAAAGTACACAACTTGGTCTAAGACCAATCTTAGAAATGACCCTTCATAGAGTCCTTGTAGGGGCTGTGTCTGAGTGTAGTGCTAATGAACACAAAACCAAGAATTAAAATGATATCCACCATACCGGCTGAATTGTTCAATGGATAGAACGGCAGCCATGGAAAGATCTCCACTTGGCGTGTGCCGATCAACAGTCTGTTCAGGCACGAACATATCATCTACATCTTGAGTGTGATCCTGAGAAGCAGCCCTTCGATCATTGACTGTTTTCACCAGTGGTGAAGTGACTTGAAGCAGGTAGTTTTGGGTTTTCAAAAACAATTGATTTAATGATTCTTGAACTGAGCCTGTGAAGGAAATGCCAAAAAGCAATTGATTTAGGGCATGGTAAATAAAAAGGTTTGGTTGTAGCCTACTGCAGTAAAACTTCAAATTCCAATAGAAGTATAGTTCCTGCTCTAAATATGCTACCAAAGACTGAATTTTTTTTACCAGTTCCACGCTCATACCTAAATACTGTAACAAGAATTATTAGGTTCTAAAAATCAAGGGAAAAATACAACATATTTGGCATTCAAACCACAATTCTTCATAACCAAAACACAGTTTTTAGCATTTCTGGTAAACTGAGCAGAAAGGGGTAAAGTTCAGAAGACCTACTGGCGTCAATACGCTTTATCTTCCCTTTAATGTCTCCGAGCGATCTGCCCACCAACTTGAAGCCGAACCGGTTGGTGTTTGACGGCGAAGAAGAGGCGGAGTTCTTGTCACAGCAAAGAATCTTGAACAAATGGTGCTGACGCCGAGGGCGAGGAAGAACTGGGAAAGATGGAGCCTTTACCAACTCGCAGTTCATTCTTCTTCCGCTCCACTTTTCTTTCTATCACTCCGTATAAGTTTTAATTTTAGAAGTGCTAAATTTGATTTAGTTTAATTTAATTTGAAAATTAGTGTAAATTTATTTCATTCTTCCTCTCTATTTTTCTAAGGAAAGCTTGTATTTATTATTTATCCATATCAAGTACTAAGAGAATCTCCAAGGGGTAGTCTAAATTTTGATAGTGTAAACCCTCTTTTACACTATCAACAGTGTTTTACACTTCAAGTTTTTTATATTCAATCCAACCATATCTTCTAAATAATATAATTTTATACTTCGTAATATTTAATTCATGCTATTTTTTAATCTAAAAACAAATTCATCAATGGCAAAGCTAAGTCCAAATCGAAGAAGATGAACAGTGGAGAAGTTTAGATCGAAGAAGACGAAGAGAAGTTCTTCAGATCACCTTTTGAGCTGTGGTTTTCTCTTATGCGGCGCTTTAGTTGACTCAGCTCCATACGTTGGTGAAAACTGAAAAGGTTTCCAAATCTGTGTGTTCAGATTTTGGGATTCTTCGTGAGGGAGATGGAACAGAGAACAAATAGAATGGTAAAAGCTTTTCCATTTGGGTACAGTAACTCTTATATTTGGCAGCTCTGAATGGTAAAATAGACTACGTTGTATATTTTAGGAGATGCGCTGGAGAGCTCAATTTTGAACAGTAAAGGGCATTTCTTCTATTTTTTAACAGTTACTCAAATTTACACTCCCGGTTGGAGTTGCTCTAATACATCAGGAATAAGAGGGTGCTTGTGTGCGGCAAGTCTTAAAAAAGTTGATGTGTTAAATTAGAAACAGAAAGCAATTACTTCAAGCTTTGATAAAAAAATTACTTCTAAATCATAATTTACACTTCTGAAATCACAACCTATAATCTAAAGTTGATTGAAAGACACCTAAAATTGTATTTCAATGAAGTCGAAGTTCAAAAGTTATTCTCAAATCCATTTCCAAACACTCCAAAAAATCATACACAAAGTCAGATGTCTTAGCTAACCGATGATGGTACGAATTATATTCTAGATCATCAGTTTGGAATTAATAATTTTACTTTATTTTTTAATCCATTCATAAACAATTATCTTGATTTTTAGTTTCTCAATAAAGTAAACAATATGTGGGCTAAAATATTTCTCTTTCTGCCTAAATTTGAATCATTTACTTTACTTGAAGTTAAAGGAGATGATTAAGGATTTGTTCTTTCATCTTATCTTTTTAGTTCTCATTTGATTGAAGTAAATTTTTTCTGATATGATGTAATTGTAGTTGTATTTAAACTTATTGTTGGTCTAATTTAATTTAATCTGATTCCAATAAAAATAAGTAATAAATAATAAGAATAAATTGAAGTAAACAAACTCTAATTCGGACGGAAGGATTACTTTTTCCTAGTACCTACTACCTAGTACATGAGATGACATTGAAAATAAGATAATTTCTGACAAACCTTTTCATCCCGCTCGATCCTCACACTTCCATCAATTGTACTCTACAATTATAGTCGATTTTGGAATCAAATAAATAAGATAAAAATTGTCAATTTTTTGAATGGAACATCATAATTGTCTAACATATTTTACTCCCTGTTTGTTGAAACATTAATTTGGTTTTCTTCCCCACCAAAAAAAAGTTGATAGTGGTTGTGGACACATTTCCACCGGAGAATGCAGATAAAAAGAGCTACACACAAAATATTGTACGCCACAACCTTACAAAGACCAATCTCCCTCCTCTTCTCCAATTTTAATGGCCGTTTCCACACTTTCATATCCGGCGACCCATCTCTTTGCTGCTCCCTCCTCCTTCTCCGGCGACCACAGCATCCCGAAGCTCCGCCGAGCTCATATTCTCTCCGCCGCCGCTCACGGCGGCGACACTTACAGTAGCAGTGGTCCTGTCAGCAGCATTTCGACCCTTTACAACCGTAATGGCGCTCCCAAGTGGAGAACCCATGTTTCTTTCTTCTCATCTTTCTTGAATCTGTACAGTGCTAAAGACGTCAAGGCTTTCAAAGAAGAACTTTTGGAGGCTATTGCTCCCCTGGATCGCGGCGCAGACGCCTCCCCTGAACACCAAGATCAGATTGAGCAGGTAACAGACCAAAATCTTTTTTTTTGTTCAGTTCACTGGTATGAAGATATTTTCAAATAATGATTACATGGTAACCATTTATTAAGATAGTAAATGTGCATTCTCTGAATTAGTGCAAAAAAACAAGGGCTTTTCTGCAATTCCATTTTGAAGATTTGATTTTTATCTTTTGAAGTTATGGAGATATGAGCAACAAAATGTAAAGTTATCTGATAAAAAAAGAGTTAAGTTATGTGGAATGTAAAGGAACAAGACTCTTCTTTCTTTCTTTTGGTTGTGGAGGGGTTTTTATTCTTGAGATTGTAAGGAAGGAAGCTTATTGTAAATGTGCATTGATAAGGTTGTCAGGAAGCTGGAAGCAGCCAATCCTACAAAGCAGCCTCTGAAGTCTCCTTTACTTAATGGCAAATGGGAGCTTTTGTATACAACTTCTCAATCAATCCTCCAAACAAATGTCAGCTGTTACTCTCACCCCCACAAAACATCACTTTTGCTTCTTCTTCTTCTCATGTTTTGTTCAAACTGAGGGAATTCACAGATTGGCTTTTGGTTGTTTGTGAGCAGAAACCCAAGTTCTTGAGGTCAAGAAGAAACTACCAAGGAATCAACACTGATACACTTAGAGCACAAAATATGGAATCTTGCCCCACTTTCAACCAGGTTAGCTTTTTACAGTAGATTCTTGAAATTACCTTCTGTTAATACTTTAGGTTCCCTCCATTTACCATTTTAAGCATTTAGGAAGAGATCAAAGTCTTGAAAGTTAGTTTTTGAGTTCACTTTTCTGCAGGTGACAGCAGATTTAACCCCAATAAATTCAAGAAAGGTGGCTGTAAAGTTTGATTACTTCAAAATTTCAGGGCTGGTATGTTCATTATTTTCATATTTTAAGTCAAATATGCTGGATTTAATAGTCGAATGTATATTCTATCATTTATTAAATTCATCTCTTGACTCTTTTGCGATTTTAAAGAAAGTATAAACGGTGTGGTCGAGACTTATACATCGATAGCAATAAGCACTTAAGCAACTGCTCTCTTTGGTAACAGATTCCTATAAAAGCTCCCGAAACAGCTCGTGGGTCCCTGGAAATTACTTACTTGGACGAAGAACTGAGGTGAGCCAATCCATGTTTGTGCACATTCATAAAACACAAAATAACATTTTTTTTCCTTTTTAATAAATTGAACTGTAATAATCTCACATATATTATGGTGTGCCATGTAACAGAGTGTCAAGAGGCGATAAAGGCAATTTGTTCATCTTGAAAATGGTGGATCCCTCTTACCGAGTCCCGCTCTAATGTATGGACACCATGAGAAGATGTCCCATTTATACACATCTTGAAATTCTTTTGTATATTGGCATTTTGCAGTCAATATATCATGATTTTTTAAGCCTCTTTTGGCATTAGCGTTAGAGTTTGGCTAATTAGCTCTAACGCTTTGAAAATATTATATAATGGTAGCTTTTAGTAGGTGTTTTAAAACATTGATGTGCACAACTAAAATTTGACAGAACGTTATTCCCAAATCGTGCCTAAATTGACACCAAGCTATTTCAAGATATATAAAAAGGAGAACTAATGCTATATGAGACTTTTACACCATACAATAACAACAGAACACAGTACAAGTCCAACCCTGAAAATGGGGTTAAAGATGCACACAATCTTACCCCTATGATAGAGTAAAAAAGAGACTATTTCTGTTGGACCCTTAATGCATTGTTGTGTTTTCCTACAACATATAGATGAAAGAAATTAGGAAAGCAGAGCTTCATGTCTTTATATCCATAGAAGAACTGTCCACTGCATCAAAACTGCTAGAGTATATCTCATAAACTCTTCTAAGATCCAAAGCATTCATGGTGAACATGTGTCCTGGCAAACCGAAAGAAATACCATTATTGCTTAGCTCCTCGCATCGCTCTTCCACGGAAGCTGCCTCCCTGAGCTTCCCTTCTTTCCAAAGGCTCTTTACAAGCAAGTCTTTAGTGGCAATATCGGCCAATTGTTGTCCGTAACTGCACATTTCCTCAAAAACTCTCAGTCCAAGAGAAGCCCTCTCACACTTGCAATACGCGTCAATAACAACCTTGTACATATAACCATCGGGCTCGACTCCGCTCTGCCTGACCATCCCAAACAGCCTCTGCACTGTTTTGATGTCCCCTTGAAGGGCAAAATGGTGCATCAGCCCAGAAAACGTCTGCCTATCCGGAAATATCCCAAGCAGGACCATTTCTTCAAGGATGTTGGTGACATCATCGTCCATTTTGCATTTTGATAATGTCCTCAAAAGAGAGGAATACAGAAACAACAGATGGTTTTCGGGGACTGGACCACAGACCGCTTTTGCATTGCGGAAGACCTTTAGGGCGGCAACACCATTGCCAGAAATCCCATAGAAATCAATTATTAATCTGAGAGTGCTAAATGACATCACCAACCCTTCTCTTTCCATCTTGGACAAAAGTTCATTGACTAAATGGACACAGCCATGCCGAGCCAACTTGGCAATCATCCTGGATACTGTGTAACTGTCGTGAGTAAATCCTGGTTGATGAGCAACCCAGCAAAAGAATTGCCAGGCTGTTTCTGCAGAGTTAAAGCTTCTGATTATCTTGCTCACTAACCGAGTTGTCCACACAAATCTTGAATCCTCCAATGCTGCAACCTCATCAGGTCCCCAGTTCCGCAAGGCGCTAGCAAGAGCAGCGGGGTCCATCCATGGTTTCAAATGACATTGGTCTGAAACATCTTCAGCATTTTCTTCCTCGTCATCATCCCCATCAGCATCACCTGAGCAATAAGAAATGCTCTTAATCCTGCCGTCTGGAAGCATTTTTCTGATCAATTCATTGATGTTCTTCTCATCATAACCTGCCTCCTGCATTTGTTGCAATGACCAATGCATGGCCCGACCGGGCAATATTCCATCAGCCCTCATTTCTTCAAGCAAATCTTTAATGGCATCTAACCTATTATTGCTGATCAATGCTCCCACCATGATGGAGTACTGCTTTAGTGTGCGCTTTATCCTCATCTGGGGTAAGATCCTGAAAACTTCTACAGCTGAATCTAATTTCCCAGATTTTACAAGATGATCAATTATAACAGTGTATGTCCTGGAATTCGGAAGTGCCCCATCATTTATCATCCTATTGAAAACCTTCACAGCATCAACATCCCTTCCCTTATGAACAGAAAGGTCCATTATGATGTTGTAAGATTCTGTGCATGGATGCTTTTGCAAAGCAGACTTCCATTTGTTCCATACATTGTTAACCTCATCAAGGTCTCCGGCGGCAGCATACCAGCGCATACGGTCCATATAACTGACATGCGCAACATTTGTGAACTTGCCTGTGTTAATACCATTAATCAGGGCTTGTAGTTTACCCTTCTGCCTCGATTTGGCAAGAATCTTGGCCAATGCATAGAGGGTGTTCGTAGTAGCGAGAAATGAGAAATTTCTTTTAGAGATTCAACAAAAAGCAATGCAGATTCAGGAGAGGGAGCTGAACGCAGAGCACTTGTCACTACAAAAGAGTCTAAAGAAGGGCTCCTTAGGAGTTTGGAAAGACACTCTGTAGAGTCTGATCGAAGACAGAGACGTATAGAATCAATGAGCCTCGCCCTCTCAAGGTACAATGTTACCTTATTCACATTTTGGGTTTTAGAAAAATGACGAAATTGCACAGTTAAATGGTTTGCTTGGCCAGTTATCTTGTAGAATATACCAAGAAACATAAATCGCCGAGCACACAGGGCACTACCTGATTGAAAGGGAAAAAAAGTTCTAAGAAAGACTGATCTGTGGTAAAATAAAATTAGGTTCTTTAGTAAACACTTGTGCTTGAAAGTTGAAACAGAGGGAAATGAAAATGTTACTCCCTTTGTCCCAAAAAGATGTGCCCAGTTTGAACGGGCACAAGTTTTAGAAGGTTTTTAGAAGGAAATGCGGTTGAAATTCATGCAAATGATAGAAAAACAATGTGAACCACATACTCTACAATATTTTTCAAATATAGAAACAAACACATGTTTTTACAGACTAAAAAGAAAAACATGCATGCCCTTTCGGAATAGAGTACACGAAAAGGTGCACAAAGACATCCACCATGTTTACATCTTGACCTTCAGTTTTTCAAGAGCAGGATTTAAGGAAAAAGGCAATATTTTTCTCTCAACATTTGTAATAGCTCTCAATGCAAGCATACTACTCAAAAGATCATTTCAAAATATCTATCTTCAACAATGTGAATGGTGTGGATTTGTATGTCTAATTACTCCGTATAATGTTAAGGGTGTTGCTAAATCCACACTCAAAATGGCAAATCCACACCTTTCACCTAAATTTGCTAAATCCACACCCATTAATATAAGTTTGATATTGGTGTGTAAATTTAGGTAAAATGTGTGGATATAGCCATTTCGGGTGCGGATTTAGCCTCAACCGAAAGTTAAAACCATATGAATCATCTATTTTCAAAACATATACTTGCCGCTGCTCATCAATCTCCATAAGATTTTCCCTAATGTTACCTCATATGATTTTGTTATATACTTTTATCTTCCAATTCCTAAATTTGATAGTTAAAGTTAATCCCTGATAGCGCGGCCAGCCCTAAAAAGGCTAAAACAGTACAGCAAAGCAGAAGATAGCAGGAGGGCAGCTAATATGAAACATTGTACTATTCAAAATGGAATTTACTCCGTATTATGTAAACATATAAGAACTCAAATTTGGTAAAAGCTAAACAAAAACATATGCGGAGTAATTAATTACCAGTGAGGATGAGAAAGGGAAACAGGGTATCGAGGAGATAGTGGCAGCGGTGCAGGGCTGGTCACGACTCGCAAGTGGCCTGAGGTGGTGGCCGGATGACGTAAGTGGCCGGAGATGGGTCGCCGGTGGTTGCAAGCCTCGCGGATTGGATCGAGAGTCTAGAGTTGATTCTTTGGCCGATTTGGATGGTTTAGAATGGGCCGACAATGTACCCAATTGAAAAGAATAAGGGGGCGTTTGGAAGGGAGTGAGCTGTTTTTTAAGAATTTATTTATGGTTTAAGGTATAATAGTTTTACTATGTTTGACATGTTAATTTTTATTTTTCTTCATACTATTTTGTACATAGAACACCATTTTAGAAAAGCAGTTATGACGTATTTTTGTTTTCAGCTTTTGCGAAAATAGCACTCTCAAACACCGTCTAAGTTTTGAACGACTCATATGACTCATATGAAAACGAACTGAATCGAATCAAATATTTATGAATAATATTCGTATTTGTTAAGATAAGGTAATATTCAAATTCGAATTTTTTTAAGATTCATATTTGGTTCGTATAACATACTAAACATATTCTGTTCATTTGAAAATTCGATTCGTTTAAATTAAATCTGTTCAAATAGCGGTCTAACGATTGAAGCCTGAGCCTAGGCCGCATGGACACCCACGGGCTTCAGGCCGGCCCGCACATGACCAAAACTTCTAAATAATTTTTTAAAAAAAATTCTTAAAAAGTGTTAATATATTAGATATTTGACATAATAACTATAATGAGTAATCGAAAGAACAACTACTCCCTAATTAATATATAGAATGTGTTTCGTAATTTGACTTTCAAATTATGTCTTAATAAGCATCGAAGAAAAAAGAGAGAAAACTCATTTGAATAACTTATTATATCAATACAAAATTAATGAAGTATATTGCAATAACTTAATTGGAATATATTTGTCATTTTTTATCATAGTGGAAGTGTTTTATTTCACACAAAAAACGAAAGATGAACTATTTTGGAAAACAGATGGAGTATTTTTATTTAATTATAGGCCAAAGTTTGAAAATGAAAAATATTACATAAAGTGACAAATATTCAAATACAAAGGTAGTAAAAAAATTCCCACCTTCATTTCTAAATATTTGTATATTTTGACTTTTTGTTGCCAATCTCTTTCATCGTTTGACGTGTAATTAAATAAAATCACTAAGGATATGGTATATTAATTGAATAAACTAATATTTAAATTATTTTATAAAACCATTCTGATAACATTATTTTTTTAACAATATCTACTATCAATTTTATTTGATTAGTAGTTAAACTTTATCTATTTTGATTGAAAGAAATCAAAATTTGGCGAAGACATACTCCGAATAGTTTAAAGAAAATAGTAAAGAAATAGATAAAATTGATAGAGAATAAAAAGGTCAAGATTCTATTTCTTTACCTCTTTATCAAACACTCAAAAGTTAAATAAAAGTCAATGTTCTATTTCTTGATTTTGCTCCAAATGTCACATGTACTATACCTATGGTCCATGGTAGGTCTTCATATATCCGAAATAATTATTTTCAAGTATTGAATTAAACATTTTAAAAATTAAAAAATATATATGAGAAGTCTATATAGACATTAGGCCCACCATAGAATCACTCTTTGACAAGATGGTTGTGATGTTTTTTATAGGTTTAAGTATATATGCTTTTGTCAAAGTAAAATGAGTGACTTTAGAGTTAATGTTGAATCTATTTTTAGTCACAAGAAAATTAGCGATATGATTTTATATATAAATCTAGTAAAAAGTAGGGTTTGATAGATAGATTAATAGTAAATAGATGTGATGTGATAGGTATGTTAAAATTAGTATGGGTAAACGTGATTTTTTAATAGAAATTGGAAAAGTTTTTTTGGGACGAATGAAAAAAAGAAGAAAAGTTTTCAGGGACGGTGAAAGTATTTTACAATGCTTAAAATGTAAATTAAAACATATTATAATGTGACCTTTTGTTGCATATTTTGGCACCATATAACGAAAAATGAAGGAATAGATTTAGCTAGTGCATGTAGTTATAAATATACCGGGAGTGTACTATCATAGCGGGTAAATTTAGATTCGACTCCTGGCAACAACAAAAAAAAATTAAGCGACATTAGATTCTTGTACCTACCAAGAACATATCCCATACTTTCTCGATATGACTGTGATTATAACTGAATTAATCTATGTTTTATCCTATTAAACCATGAAAAACTAAATCTAGTAAGTTGGTGGGAGGACCATTTATTTGCAAAAGATCTACTCCCTCCGTTCTATAAAAGTGTTCCTATTTTGACTTTGTGTAAAAATAAAGAAGTGTTAAATTGTAGTTGACTTCCAATTTTGCCCTTGATGTGATGGGTAAAAGTAAGCTGTGATGGATTGAGTATTAGAGAAAAAGTATGATGTTATAGGTAGGATATGAAAAAGTAAGGGTAAAAATGGTTTTTTAATAAAAAGTGGAAGTGTTTTGTTGGAAGTAAAAAAATGAAAGAGGAAGAGTTTTTGAGAACGGAGGCAGTATATTTTACAGTGATGATTTTATAAAAATTTATTTAAGATATTTTAAAAGCAAAAACCATTCATTTTACACGGACAAAAAATATACTCCTTTCGTCGCAAAAAAATTGTCATAGTTTGATTTTTTAGTCAAATTATGCAACACTTTGACCATATAATTTATCAAGAAAAAATATATTAGTTATTATACAATTTTGTATAATATTTAAACACTTTAAACTATATTTAATTTGTGGTCAAAATGTACTACAATTTGACAAAAATTTTAAACTGTGACAATTTTCTTTTGGTACGGAAGGAGTATTTAACCCTTTTTTACATGTTTGTGCTTTTTATAGGAAAATAATCAAAAACATCATGAACCATAAAATCTTTTCTTTAAAATGAAATTCATAGAATATAAAAGCAATATGAACCATTACACTAAGATTTGCTATATATGGTCTATAGTCCTATGGCTCCTAAATAATGTACCTTAAGTATATATGGAAAAGCTCAATTTTGCATTAAGACGACCACCAACCTTCTATAATGGGGTAAAGGTATGCTACTTATATAAGAGAGTCCACATTATCATGGAGAATCATGCTTATATCATTTTTAAAAACAAAAAGATATTTATTTGCACCTTTTCATAGGGAGGAAATGTCCAAGTTCAATGTGCTCTCCATACTCCTTGTTGTAGTGTTCATTCTATCAACAGGTTTTTATTACCAAGTGTTATTTACATCCAAATATACTCCCTTCGTACGTCCCTGTAAACATGAGAGATTTTGATTTTTAAGAAATTTAAAAAAAGTTTATTTTGGTGTTGAGTTTCCAAAAATGTCCTTGGATGTAAGTGATAAAAGTAGGGTTTGATTGATAGATTAATAGTAAATAGATGTGATGTGATAGGTATGTTAAAATTAGTATGGGTAAACGTGATTTTTTAATAGAAATTGAAAAAGTTTTTTTGGGACGAATGAAAAAAAGAAGAAAAGTTTTCAAGGACGGAGAAAGTATTTTACAATGCTTAAAATGTAAATTAAAACATATTATAATGTGACCTTTTGTTGCATATTTTGGCACCATATAATGAAAAATGAAGGAATAGATTTAGCTAGTGCATGTAGTTATAAATATACCGGGAGTGTACTATCATAGCGGGTAAATTTAGATTCGACTCCTGGCAACAACAAAAAAAAATTAAGCAACATTAGATTCTTGTACCTACCAAGAACATATCCCATACTTTCTCGATATGACTGTGATTATAACTGAATTAATCAACCTCATCGGTCTTATTGCATTGTGAGTCGTCAGTAATAGATATACTCCGTAGCTCATAGAGATTGGAGTTCAACTTCTTCTTCTTTTTTCCTACAATATAAAACTCCCTCCCTTCCTTAAAATAATTTCTCTTTCATTTTTTTCGTTCTCCCAAAACACTTTAATTTTTTATAAAAAATGGCTAATATATCTAAATTAAGTTTTTACAATATACTTCATTCGATTTACATTGATATAATAAGTCATTTAAATGATTTGTCTCTCTTTTTTCTTCGACAATAAAAGTATAATTAAAAGGTCAAACTCTGAAATTAAACATCTTCCAAGTCAAAATAGTACTCCCTCCGTCCCACAAAGAATGCCACGTTTACTATTCTGGCATCTCGATAACTTTTGTTTGTTTACTCGTTTTGGTTGACCATTTGATAAAATAAAATATTTTTGTCGCATCTTGTTTTGTAGAGCTTTTCATATACTTTTAAATGGTGTAATTTTTACTTTTTATTATTCTACCAATTTGAAATTAAAGTGACTTTAAAAGAGATGATATTTTGCACGTCGTTCGAAGTGTTGCAAATAAATTGGGACGGAGTGAGTAATTGTTTTAAGGAATAGATGGATATATGAATAAATTATTGATTTACGTCAGATGATAATTTTATTTTATTTTATTTTTTGTTTAGAAGTGATGGAGGGTGAGTGTAAAATCCCATGTTGCAAGGACACACACATTGGGTCATGTGTTCCAGGGAGCAGTGACGACAGCAAATGTAATAGCCTTTGCATGCAGAGTAATTGTGGCAAAGGAGGAAAATGCAAAGTCTTGGGCAAAAAACCTCCCAATCATTTCTGCCATTGTTTTTGCTAAATTAATTTGATTTTATAAAATATAGCAATATATAGTTAATTATATACGGAGTACAATGAACCTAAGAATTATTGAAGCTGCCTAATAATTCATTAATTACTTTCATGATCGAATTATTCTATTAGACAATATATACACATGTATTAGCTAGCATCTTCAATTGGTGTTATTTATGTCGTCGTTTCACTGTTTTTTTGGCGGTGGTTTCTTGAATAAAATTATTGTTAGAATATATAAAAATTGATCCTGGACCACAATCAAATCACAAGTTTGAGTTTTTTTTGTTGAGTTATTAGTTTCTTGACATGATATCGAAGCATTGATGGCCAAGAGATCACAAGTTCAAAACTCACCGTCATTCAATTTTTTAAAATGCTCCATATATGATTAAAGGGTAGTACGTTTCCCTGAATATGACCAGGTATATTATATGTATTTCCTTCATGACACATTTATTCCCTTTATGGCACATAATTTCATATAATGTGTCATGCATGCCCTCATTAATAACAGGTATTGGATATTGACTGATTATTTCAATGACTATTCAAATTATTTTTAATAATGTTTTGTTCTACTTGAATTATGTAATATGCCATTTCTCTCAAAGGCAAGGCATTTTAGAATTTTCCATTGTCAAATGTTAGAATAGATATGAATGGTCCTATTTAGAAAAAAATGATACTAGTATATTTAAGTCACATTTTATCAACACTTTTAAAACAAATTTTGACTAACACCGAGTATATTTATATGTTGTCAAGGAAATAACTCGATTAAAAATTCAAGTTTATGATTATTAATTAGTTATAGACCATATAGCCTCTTGAGTTGTATTTGAATTATCTTTAATTATAGATACTTTTTTACTCGTCTTATTCTTAATAAGAGAATTATCAATAAAGTAGCAATTAAATTCTTCTATGCTCCTAAAGTCCCTACTCATATTATGAACCTTAATATATAAATCGTTAAATATTACGGAGTATACATGAATTGAGATCTTAAAAAAATAAATGTTTCTCATTCGTACCCATGAAAAGTGTGAGAAAGTAATCAACATCTCACTTGTGGACCTTAGAATAATCATGGAAGCACAACTCAACCCAAGCATATGTTATTTTTTGAAACATTTTTTAAAAAAATAGTTTTAAATATTAATTTACATATATTTATGGAAAAGGAGAAAAAAACACACATAATTAACAGAAAAAGAGAGGGGACATTGATGCTAAACTATAAGGGTAGCGGAGTTATTATACTAAAATTTGAAGGGTATTTTAGACTAAACGAACATTGACATAGGAATATCAGAAGCATGAGAACAACAATTTAAGTTTTGAAGTTTTGATGTCAACAATATGATGCATATTTATCAAACCATAGGGGTATTAATTTGGTGCAATAAACTTCATTCATTAAACCAATTTACAAAGATGGATTTGTGCCTTTGTGGTACCTTTAATGCCACGCTCCAATACTTTGTTTAATTAAATGATACGGAGTAATTGGAACGAGATACTTCATTAATCCTACTACAAAAATTTTTTAAATAATCTAAACAATTTATTTAAAAAATGAACTTAAATTTACATATTATTATTTTTATTTACTTTCACTAAGAACATGCAGTAAATGTCACACAAAAAAATAGAATTTGAATAAATAAAACAAAGTGATGTCAGGAAAAAGTTTTTTGTCATTGTCAAAAAATAATCTTTAATTTTCTCTCCCTTTTCCTTTCTTGTTCTTCGTTAATTTCTCTCTCACTTTTCTTTTTTTCCACGTCCATTTTTTTTCTCCTATATATGCACTGAGTTGAATGGAAAAATATATATCGACAAAATTTGGTACCATACGGTCATACGGATCGGAGAAAGTAATTATTAATTAATAATGCTTGACCAATCCTTGTTTAATTTAATTAAATTCTACTTTGCTCATTATGGCTCGCTCATTAACAATGCAACATAGAATATAATTTGGCCGAATACTAATACTAATAATAATAATTGATCGAAGATAGACAGATATAAATAACTGAAATCTTCATCATCAGACGGTGGTGATGGCGGCTTTGACTCCGGCGGAAGCACAATGAGCGGCGATACCGCAGATGTAGTAGGTGGTTCCGCTGGCGGTCAACGTCACTTTATCGTCGCCGGAGTTCAACGTCTTCCCCTTCGGGGTGCACGACTCGTAATCTTCCTTGCTCACTACCACCACGTTGTGCAACGTCGGGTCGTACTTAAACTCTGCATGCATGCAAACACACATCAGTCCAATGTTTTCAAAATCTTAAACAAGTAAGTAAGGTACGGTCGATAGAAACTTGATCGGACCGAGAACATCGCCGACGTTGAATGTTTGTCCCTTCTGCCAACCGTCCATCGCGAAACCCCATCCGGCTGCGCCGCCAACCCGAATGGTTGCAGCACCAGTAAGATCACACAGTAACACCATTGACGTTATTGCTATAGCCATAACAATGATGTTTTGACATGGAGACATCTTTTCGATCCGTCAAAGGAAAAAATGGAAGAAAAAATTTACTTTTACAGTAGAGAATATATGGGACTGTGTTTTGTAGCGTTGAACTTGTAAGTAACGTTGCCCTTTTATAAGGGCCACTCACAGTTCATTGAATGCAAATGGGTCAACGTAGTCTCATCCAGATATGAACAGATTTAGAAAAAAAGTTATTTCTTATTAATTGCAAATGACTAGGCATATACTCCGCATGTATTGTATGATCTACAAACACAAAAATTACAAAATACATAAATTTGTTATTTATGTATTTTATTTTCAAAATTTCCTATGGTTAAAAATTTTCTTTTCCAGTTTGACTTGGCACGGAGATTAAAAAAAAGTTTAAAAAGTTTAAAAATTTATTATGTTTGTCCTTGATGTGATGGAATAAAATGAATAATGTAGATGAAAAGTGAGGTATAATGACACATTCATGGAAATTTTGATGTCTGTAAACGATCACATATACTCTACAATAATTAATGTTTTGTTGTCTCGAAATATTTGTCCAATTTTAATTTTTTACCACAATCAATCAAAATCAATATTTGAGCTTAAATTAAGGAGGGTGTATTCAATCACGATTCTGAAAGATTTCGATAGATTGTTTAAAGTTTATGGATTATGTAAAATGAATGAATTATTTTAAGTCTATGCAGAGTTTGGAAGATTTTAATGTATTTTATCAACCGGATTTTATAGTATTCTATCTAATTGACCATCCAGAGATGCAAAAAGAGATTCCTGCAAAAATGAATTCGGATAGGCTTCCTTTCATTTCGAAAATCAAAACAGAAATTCACCACAAAAAAAACATCATCCGTTTTTATCCCAATTTCTAAAGCCCCAACATCAGTAAAAAAAGCCCCATCAACAAGTAAAGTACTAGTAATGTGGAGATATGTGAAGAGAGTCCCATCAACATGCAAAAATTATATTTGGTAGCCATAAAGGAATGGAAATATTATTGTGTCATACGTGAAGAGAGGTCTATGAATAGAAAAAGAGAGCAATTAAATTCTATGAAGAGTTGAAAAAAGGAACTGTTGATAAATGTGGAGAAGAATGGTCGGTTGAAGGTTGAGCACTGGCCACTGGGAGAGGAGTGGAGAAGGTCGGCAATGAAACTGGGAGGAGTGGAGAAGGTTGAGCATCGGGAGAAGTGGAGGAGTCAGTGATGAAGGCTGCTTGCACCGGCGGGAGAAGAAGACGGAGAGGATGAAGGAGAGTAGGTGAAAGACTTTTCAAAATCTTTAGCTTTTGGGTGAGATTTGGGAATGAATTTATATTTATATCTTACGCTTGAAAATCCAACAAAATCCATAATTTTTAAAATCTTTAAAAATCCATCAATTTTTGAATACCATCATATTTAGAAAGATTTTTTAAAGTTTGAATTGAATATACTTAGATTTTAAATGACTTTTTAAATTCTGAATTGAATACCTACGGATTTTCAGAATCCAAAAAAATCTATCAGAATCCGGATTGAATACACCCCCCTAAATACGAAGTAAAAGTTACACGATAAATTAATATTTTAAAAATATTTTTTAAGATAATAAATCATATAAATATATTCTTGTATTAATATCTTATACTACCTCCGTCCCGTGAAACATTTCCCCTTTCTTTTTTTATCCGTCCCACAAAACACTTCTCATTTCTATTAAAAAGTCACTTTTACCCCTTACTTTTTCATACCCTAACTATCACATCATACCTTTTTACTAATAATCTATCCATCAAATCATACTTTTACCCATCACATCAAAGGACATTTTTGGAAATTCAATACGAAAATACACTC